ATACAGGAGGTAGCTCTAAGATATAAAACTAGTGAGAATAAGCACTTCCGATAGGAAAAATTTCCACATGTCTGATCTGGGAGGATAGACTTTTAAAATGCAAAACATCATCATCTCATAATACAAAACATTAAAACTTCCATTACGTTTTTAAAATGTTTTAATTGACGTTTAACTGATACAGAACATATTAGTTTCAGACATACAACACGATGATTCGATATATGTACATATGACAAAATGATCACCACAATAAGGAGTTAACATCTATCACCTCACATAGTAACGATATTTTTTCAGTGATGAAGACTTTAAAGATCTACTCTTTTTAGTAACTTTCAAATATACAACACAGCATTACTACAGTGGACAGTTAGGTTCCTTCCATGTCTTGGCTATTGCAAATAATGCTGCAATGAACATGAGGATACGAGAGTTCTTTTCAAGGTAGTTTTTTTTTTTTTAAGATTTTATTTATTTATTTGACAGAGATCACAAGCAAGCAGAGAGGCAGGCAGAGAGAGAGGAGGGGGAGCTGGCTCCCTGCTGAGCAGAGAGCCTGATGCAGGGCTCATCCCAGGACCCTGGGATCATGACCTGAGCTGAAGGCAGAGGTTTTAACCCATTGAGCCACCCAGGCACTCCACAAGGTAGTATTTTTCCTTCCCTCAGATAAATACCCATAAATGGAATGTCTGGATCATATAACAGTTCTATTTTTAATTTTCTGAGAACCCTCCATACTATTTTCCATAGTGGCTGCACCAATTTACATTCTCACCAACAGTGCACGAGAGTTCCCTTCTCTCCTCATCCTCGCTTGACACTTATTATTTCTCATCCTATAATAATAGCCATTCTATAGCCATTAATAATAAGATTATTATTAATAATAGCCATTCTAACATGTATGGGATAATCTCTCATTGTGGTTTTGATTTGCATTGCCCTGGCGATTAGTGATGTTGAGTACCTTTTCGTGTACCTGTTGGCCATCTGTTTATCTTCCATGTAAAAATGTCTCTTTAGGTTCTCCGCCCATTTTTTATCAGATTTTTTTTTTGCTATTGTGTCGTATGAGTTCTTTATGTATTTTGAATATTAACCCCATATTAGATATAGGATTTGCAAATATTTTTTCCTGTTATGTAGGTTGCTTTTTCATTTTGTGGATCATTTTCTTTGCTGTGCTGAAGCTTTTTAGTTTGATGTAGTCCCACTGGTTTATTTTTCTTCAATTGCCTATGCTTTTGGTGTCAGGTGCAAAAAATTGCCAAAACCAATGTCAAAGAGCTTACTGCCTATGGTTTTTTTTTTTTCCTTGAAGTTTTGTAGTTTCAGATATTATATTCAAGTGCTCTGCTCTGACTTGATTTTTGTGCATGGGGTACAGTAGTGTTCTAGTTTCATTCATGGATGTGGCTGTTAAATTTTCCCAGCACCATTTATTTGAGACTGTCCTTTCCCCCCTTTTCTTATTGCTTTCCATTGATCTGTATAGCCATTTTTATGCCAACAACGTACTGTTTTGATGACAGCTTTGTAATATAGTTTGAACTCAGGATACATTACACCTACAGTTTTGTTACTCTTTTTCAAGATTGATTTAACTTCTCAGGCTCTTTTGTGGTTCCAAATCTTAAGATTTTTTTTTTTATTATTTTTGTGGAAAAAATGTCATTGGAAATTTGATAGGGATTGCATTGAATTTGTAGATTGCTTTGGATAGCATGGGTATTTTAACAATATTCCAATTCATGAGCACAAAATATCTTCCTACTTATTTACATCTTCAATGTCTTTCGTGAATGTCTTGTAGTTTTCTTTCTTTCTTTCTTTTTTTAAAGATTTATTTATATTTATTTGACAGACAGAAATCACAAGGAGGCAGAGAGGCAGGCAGAGAGAGAGGAGGAAGCAGGCTCCCCGCTGAGCAGAGAGCTCGATGTGGGGCTTGATCCCAGGACCCTGGGATCATGACCCGAGCCGAAGGCAGAGGCTTTAACCCACTGAGCCACCCAGGCGCCCCTCTTGTAGTTTTCTTATAGTTTCAGTATACAGGTCTTTTAAAATTGATTATAATTATGGTTGCCCAACTGTAAATATATTAAAAACTATCAAATTGTACACTTTATTTAAGACCTTATTCATTTCTTTGTCAGTAAGAGAGAGAGAGAGAGAGAGCACAAGCAGAGGGAGCAGCAGGCAGAGTGAGGAGGAGACTCCCCGCTGAGCAAGGAGCCAGATGCGGGACTTGATCCCATGATGCTGGGATCATGAGCTGAGCTGAAGGTAGACGCTCAACTGACTGAGCCACCCAGGCATCCCAAATGGTACACTTTAAAAGAGAATTGTGTGGTATATAAAAAATATCAAAAACTGTTATGTTAAAACAAAAAAATCTTTTGGACTTGCTAAATGGGAGTTATTAACAACCTCGATGGGAGGAGTTCCAGCAGCAATTGGAGTTGAAGCCAGACTGAAAAGGGCCATGGAACAAGTGAAGTATGCAACAAACATCACCTGCTCTTTCAAGATGTTATGACAAAGGAGATAGGGTAGTGCTTGAAAGGGAGAAGCTTTAAAGGGACCGCGATTTTAGAAAAAGAGAGAAACCATCCTGTAAAGGAAACAAGCTGTTCCATCAGAGCGGCCTGTGAGGTGCGAGGCGTCAGCAGATGTGGAATCTTGGAGCCCACAGAAACTTGAGTTTCAAATACTGGAGAAGGGTCTGCTTTATCTAAATACAAAAAAACCCTGTCTTCCTAAAATGTGTCTAAGTTTGGCCTTTTCTTCCCTGAGATAAAGTGGTGGTTTTCTCCAAGAGCTTTGTTCTTTACACTCCACTAAGAAATTACTCCTGACGAGTCAGGATTCGGGGACAGGGAAGGGTCACAGAGCAGGAAATAGTATAGTCCCCCGCGATTATAATTCAACCTTTAGTAATCTTTGTTCCTTCATCTCAAGAATTTGGCTTTAATATCAAGGATATAAAATCACAGCATCTCTCAGAAATGTTAATTTTTTAGTCAGCCAAAAATAGGATGAATGCCGTCTGTGTGGAAAGATGTAGAACTGCCGTAGTTTTCAAATTGCTGAATCAAATTTTTCCCCTAATATCTGAGCCTCGATAACCATTTTGGGAGTCTGGAACATATCCGCAGACCATTCCCATTTATCTGTCTCCTGGAACTTAAAACTATCCAGTAATGGCTTTTTTACTCAACTCCATTTCTGGGTTCATTATTTTCCAGTGTTGGGTCCTACCACAGTATTTCGGAAATCTTTGTTTTTCAAAATGCTTAAACTCAACCCCAGCTGAAAGCTTTTGATAGGAATCCCTCATGTTAAGGAAGAGTTAGCGGTGGAAACCACATTAAAAGTGTAGTGATGTGCTCTCTTTATGAATTTTATCTCTAGGCCATAAATGATGTTGGGTGCTCTGATGCTGGGACATGTCATTCGGAAACGTAACAGAGCAATGAGAACCATAGAGGACTGGTTCGGATGTGACCTACTTGGGAAGGAAGACCTTCAAACCCCAGCAATTACTGTGTTGGCTGGGGTCTTGCCAGGTCTTCTTTTCATCAGTGGGGAAACTCAATGATGTTAATTTTGGTGGAGGAATTTGTAACTCGAACTTTTTAAGCCAGGGCAGAAGACAACTGGTAACCTTCCTTCTACGGAAATGTTGGCACCGAAGCCAGAGATGCGTTCCAGAAATAACTATTACAAAGATGTATCTAGCTCTGGCTGCACGGTGTACTTTTCTGGCCTCATTCCACCGGGAGCTGTCCTGACTCATTCTTTGCATTGCTCTTCACACTGAATTAACATAAACTCCAGACAAAAATAGCTCCATGTTACCTTAGGAATACTGACTCATTTATTTTTTGCTGTGTTAATATTCCCATACTATCGTTTTATTAATGCGTAGAACATTCATTTGAAATGGGCGTAGCTTTATTTACAGGAGAAACCCTGAGGTGATCTCTCAGGAGGGCTAAGAGCACGTCCTCAGGGGGCCCACATTATCTGCATTTGAATCCCAGCTCTGCCACTTACACGCTATATAACCCTTTATAACCCTGAGCAAGTTCCTTGACTTCTCTGTGCCTCATTTTTCTACCAAGGAAGACAGGAGTAACAGCACCTTCTAGGACTGCAGCGGAAATCAAAGGAATAATACCCTTCGAGCACTTAGAACCGTACTGGGCACGTACAACACCCTCCATAAATGCAAGCTGCTGTTAGCGCTTATTTTAGCTTAAATGATTCACACGACAAAATTTCAACCTAAATATTGAATACAGTATTAGGACATTGGATGGCACTTGAGGAAATTCTCATAAGCTAAAAAGCTAAGGACTAGCACGTCCCGGAGAAGCAGGAAAAGGGAGAGCACAAGAACAAGGTCTTGGGTTCTAGTTGTGACCGTACCACCGCCCGGCAGTGCAACCCCAGGCCTGGCTTTGGTCATCTGTGCCACAAAGACCTTCGACTACACATCCTCTGAAGTCCCTGCCCTCATTCCTCAAACTCCCAGCTTTTTCAGCTAATCTGAACAGAAGTATCTGTAAAATAGTTTTCATGACATTAAAAACTGAAAGAATAACAGTGAGGGGTCTCACAGTCCTAAATCTGAATGAGTGGCTTTGTCCCTTTGACACATTTCCTTGTGTGAACGCATGGATGAGAATTCCACTAAATATGGGAGGAGACGAGTTCAAGAGTCTTTCCAGGATTTTGCAGTGCAGGGTCCTGGGATCTCCTCCAGGCTGACCGCAGGTGGGGCTCTGGGCTTGTGACTCTGTTTCTAATACCTATAGTCTTATATTGATAATACGATAGTCCGTAAATAGCTTCTCAGGGAAATACAAAATTGGTGGCACATCAAGTAAAATTAAAATAACGACTTGATTTCTAAGGTCACAGGACTTCTGAAAAACTTCTTTTAGCTGAGATGTCTAAAATAAAAACTCATGAAGAATGACAGAATATTGGTGTATTACACACTGATTTATTTTAAAGCATAGTATATAAGAAAATGTGTAGTGTCTTGTAAAGCCTTTGAGAAATAGTTTTAAATACAATTTTTAATTTCTAAATAAAGTCTCTAACTGGGATGAATATACACATTTTTACCCAAAGAAGTGTGATCTTTATGGTGACTTCAGACCCCTGAAGCTACATGTTAGCTAATGGCCAGCTTAACATTAAAAATATGCATTTGTAAAAATTCGAGGAAATTCATGAAAATGTTTTATAAACATTTTTATAAACATCTACCACATAATGTGGGAGGAGTTTTCATGATCTATTTACAAACATGAAATCCTATCTTTTATAATACTATACAAGTTATTACAAAGTTTGCTTATGAATTCTTATGTAAACTCCCTTATGTCCTCTTCACTAGTATTAAGCACAGGTCTGTATAGCATGCATATATATATATATAAACATACTATTTCCGTTGTGTAATGCCCCCTCATATATATCCTATGCCCAAGAATAAACTTGGTCTGTGGGACAGTCAGAGCATAGCAAAATGCTGCTTTAGCTGTTTAATTAAGTATTGGGTATCCACATGATCTGGAAATGCTGCTTCTGACTTTTGAGCAGCAACATAGCTTCTCTGCAGATCTCCAATCTGTAAGAAATACCAGAATAAGACCACAGGATGAGACCAGGAAAAAATGAGTAAGAAAGTTAAAAAAGAAAAAAAAAGTACTACCTTACACTGTAGAAAATTAAAGGATTTAAGGTAAATTGCTTGGATTATGCCACTTTGATTTTAGAATTCTTTCACCTAGATTACAATTTAATCTTGAAAAACAGGAGAGAAATAAAATAACCAATTACACAAATAATTTCTGCTCCACTACAGCTGTCTCGTTACGAATTCATAAACCTTGTTTTCTTTTCCTGTCACAGGGAGTATTATAAAAATAAGATAACATTTGCATTCTACAACAGCCAGCTCTGTATAGTTTCCAAAAGCCCTTGGACAACTATTTGTAACGTGCCATAAAGATACTGTGGTTAAGGCATTATCTTTTAGACAGAAAATTCAAGCAAAAACGATTGTACATATAAGATAAAATAACATGCTCAATGAGGTTTTAAACGGAGCTAGCCGAGTAATGTGGGAGAAGATATCTGTCTTTAGAAGTTTATTAAGGGTATCTGATTTTCAATAAAGCTGGCGTTAAAGTCCAGTCCCAGAGAAAAGCACACAGTTTTTGGATCCACCTGAATAGATCTGGATTCGTGCACATGTTTATAAAAAGCGAGAGCATTTTAGTATGTGCGCACACACAAAACCTATATAATTCAATTCTGGCAGGGTTTTTTGGTTTGTTTTGAAACACATAGTACATATTAAAAACGTAAATTTCTTTTTTTTAAAACTCATAGCATTTCTTTTTAACATACCATTTTATTTTATTGAAAATACAGCATTTTGCTTAAAGAAATATCTCATTTGAGTTATATATTATTAAAATGTGATAAAGTGAAAAACAGTTATCAAGTCTTTGTGGTTTAAGTAAATGGCCATGCAGGGCAATGGAAAACGCATGGGAATTGTTGGGTGCTGGGTATAAATTCTGACCCCGCCATGGCCATGCGCCTCTAGGGGAGCCTTTGAAGCTCAACCAGCCTTGGGTTCCGTTAGAACGTAAGCTGCATGAGGTAGAGGTTTTGTTGTATTCACAGCTGACATCCTTTGTGCTGACAACAGTGCCAGGCACATAGCAGAGGCTCAAGAAATGAAACATCAGTTGTATGAAAAAAACGAATCAGGAAGGCCGGCCTACATGACAGCTTGTTGGGAGAATCAGAGAGGGTGTGTAGAGTCCCAGGAACAGTGGCTGGCACTTGACAAGCCCTCAAAAATGACAACTTAGAAATGACTGCTTGGTTCCAAAGCAGAAATGAAAGTGAGGATGGCTTCGTGTTTGTGCTTTGAAAAATGACCTTTTCATAATGTCTTCTGAGTGTCTTTACATCAGCAAATACTTTTAGCCATTTCCTTACCCTTCAAACTTACTTTCCATGTTAAAGGAAGATTTCTCAGTAAAAATTAGTTATTAGATACCTTTTATTGTTGTTCTTATTGAAAATGGTGTGATTCCTTTTAGCTCTTGCATATTAACTGACTTGTAACATAGTATTAACAGTTGTATTTTTCCCACATTGTTCATAGCTAAGATAGCTTTCACTTATATCCCTAATTTTATAGCAATTATGCCAGAGCCTTGATGGCAACATGGTCTACAATAAAATACAAGATTTCTTTGCTATAAAACCCAATTACTAGATCCTTCCTCAACCAGGAGTTACTTAATGCGTATTTTTTTCAGGCCTAAATGTCATATTTTAAAAATAAAATAATTCTGCAATTGATAACAATCTATAAAGCAATCTTTAATAGTAAGTTTAGTCCATATTCAGTGATAAATTTCTTTAAAGTTTATTAAACTGTCCCTTGAAGTGAAAGACAGGTGCATACAATATTTAAAAAATCATTTCTTTCAAAACATCATTATAATTTCCTTATTTATCTTTCTCCTTACTTATCTGTACTTTTTTTTAAAACCCAGGGAAGAAAAAGAAACAGACTGGATGATGAGTCAATAAAGAGAATACCTTGTCAGAGACCGTTGCAAAATTAAAATGTGGCTCGTACATATGGGGTCCCAAGGATGACGCGGTTTGTAACAGTGCTCTTGCCTATATTAAAAAAAAAAAAAAAACGGGGTGGGGGGAGAAAACCAAAAGTACATGAGCATCTATCAGCACTATATTTGTGATTTGTTTTGTTTTGCTTTTGGTAAAAGAATCCTTTACCCGAGATAGGACCGTAATAGGGGCGCCTGGGTGGCTCAGTCGTTAAGCGTCTGCCTTCAGCTCAGGTCATGATATCAGGGTCCTGGGATCCAGCCCCACATTGGGCTCCCTGCTCAGCAGGAAGCCTGCTTCTCCCTCTCCCACTCCCCCTGCTTGTGTTCCCTCTCTCGCTGTGTCTCTGTCAAATAAATAAATAAAATCTTAAAAAAAAAAGACCTTAATAAACGTGATCCTGTGAGAAATATAGGTGACATTCCTTGTGAAATATGACTTATTGAAATACAATTAATACTTACATCTTGCCAAAATTAATGATAAAACTGCTTCAAAATATGAAGCAAATTAAGAGTAGATTTAAAGTCGAGAACCACAGTTCTTAATGAAGTTTATATTTCAATTATGACAAATCAAAATATAATCTTCTCAATGCTAAAAAAAATCTTATTAACCTAGCTTTTATTGCTGATTGATTTCTTAGCCTTCTAATTACCTGTTCTCTAATGCTATAATAACAACAATAAAAAAAACCATAGTAAATTTCCAAGCCCCCAGTTCAGTGCTGGAAGACAGAGATAAGTGTTTATAACAGTGCTGACCTCAAAAAAACAAGTGACTGAAACTGAAAATGACAAGCTTTTTGTTCTTTCAAGTACTCAAAAAACAAAATTTGCATCCCCTATAGGCTCAAGGATAGTTACGACCACAAATTCACCATTCCAAGTTGCTGAGCACCCCTCCAGTTTGTAACTAAACCCAAAACCTCCATCCATGACCCGTGGACATATCTTTTTTTTTGTTTAATGGGAAATAACATATGGGATGGTAGATATTGATTTTTTTTATGATTAGCTATTTTTGTTTTAATCAAGGTATAATTTTAATAATAAAAAAAAGGTTAGTAGCATGAAAACTTTAACCAAAACCTTTCAAATCAGTTCATAGTAGAGCAAGTGTACTAAGTAGGAAACAAAACCACCAACATGGGAACAGAGAAAACTCCCAAAAGCACTTGTTCCATCACAGAACAAGTTCCCATTTTACTTTATTTATTTTTGTTTGTTTTTAATTAATTATTTTTATGAACATATAATGTATCATTTGCCCCAGGGGTACAGGTCTGTGAATTGTCAGGCTGAAACATTTCACAGCACTCGCCATATAAGTTCCCATTTTAGAGTATAGTCGACTCTTGAACAGCACAGGTTTGAACTGCATGGGTCCACTTAGGCATGGATTTTTTCAATAAATATAGTACTGTAAATGTACTTTATCTTCGTTATGATTTTCTTAATCACTTCTTATTTTCTCTAGCTTACTTTATTGTAGAATACAGTATACGTACGTATGACATAAAATATGTCTTAATTGACTGTGTACATTCTTGGTAAGGCTTCTAGTCAACAGTGGGCTCTTAGTAGTTAAGTTTTGGAGGGTTCGAAAGTAATACTTGGATTTTCCACTACATAGAGGATCAGCACCCCTAATTCTGAATTGCTCAAGAGGCCCTGTAGTTTTTTTTTTTTTTTAAAGATTTTATTTATTTATTTGACAGAGATCACAAGTAGGCAGTGAGGCAGGCAGAGAGGGAGAGGAGAAAGCAGGCTCCCTGCGGAGCAGAGAGCCCGATGTGGGGCTCAATCCCAGGACCCTGGGATCATGACCTGAGCCGAAGGCAGAGGCTTTAACCCGCTGAGCCACCCAGGCGCCCCCCCGTATTTAGTTTTTGTCTCTAAAATACTAACCCATCTTATTTGTGGGAATTTGTGAAACAAAGGCAACATCCAAGGATGCTTCTTGCCTTGTTGTGTTACAAGTTCATCACGGTGCTTAGGAGACCAGCTGGGAGGTTAACACTATGTCTGCAGGTAAAGTTACTTACCTTCCTTGAGTCCCTGTTTCTTCATCTTTAAAGTCTGGTATGTAGTACTTATCTCTCCTTGATTGTCATTAATATTGTAGGAGGATATTTAGCATTTTAAACTTTTTAAATAATATAATGTATTAAGCATCTATGTGTGCTCAGTACGAGGCTACCATGCCCAGTGCTTTCCATGCATGATCTGCTCATCCTCCCAGAAGACCTTCAGGTACTGCTGTTACCTCACTGTCTGTGCTGTCCATTTGCTTCACAACTACACACTCACTACACATCACATGCCAGGCACTGTTTTGTTTTGTTTTTTATTAACATATAATGTATTATTAGCCCCAGGGGTACAGGTCTGTGAATGGTCAGGCTTACACACTTCACAGCACTCACCATATCACATACCCTCCCCAATGTCCATCACCCAGCCACCCTATCCCCACCCCCACTCCCCCCCAGCAACCCTCAGTTTGTTCTGTGAGATTAAGAATCTCTTATGGTTTGTCTCCCTCCCGATCCCATCTTGTTTCATTTATTCCTTCCCTACCCCTCAAACCCCCCATGTTGCCTCTCAACTTCCTCATATCAGGGAGATCATATGATAATTGCCTTTCTCTGATTGACTTATTTTGCTCAGCATAATACCCTCTAATTCCATCAACGTCATTGCAAATGGCGAGATTCCATCTTTTGATGGCTACATAGTATTCCATGGTACATAATACCACATCTTCTTTATCCATTCATCTGTTGATGGACATCTAGGTTCTTTCCATAGTTTGGCTATTGTGGACATTGCTGCTATAAACATTCAGGTGCACGTGCCCCTTCAGATCACTACATTTGTATCTTTAGGGTAAACACCCAGTAGGCCAGGCACTGTTTTGATGCTAAAAATACAGCAGTTGGAAGACAAAGAAGGTCCCTATTTTCACATGGCAGCCATGCTCCATTCTACATATAAATATGATCATATCTGATAAAATAAGTATTTTGAGGGAAAAAATAGGAGGAGATGTGATACTGCCTGAGGGCTCCTTTAAACTGACATCCGAGATGACCTTTCTTAGGAGGTGGTGATTAAGTTAAGACCCGACTGACAAAAAGAAAAGTCACGGCAGGATCTGAAAGAACATCCCAAAGGCTGTAAACTAAGAACAGGCACAGTGTATTTGCAGAGTGGGGAGGCAGCTGATGTGTCCGAAATTCGGTGTGAAGGGAGAAGTGATGAAAGATGTGGTCTGAGGGAGAGCCAGAGGCCGGATTATGTGGGACCCTGTAGGCCAAGATCTGAATCCACATTTCATGCCAAGTGAAAAGGAAAGACTGTGGAGAATGCTGGGCAAAGTAGTGATAAAAGCATTCTTGTTTTTTTGTTTTGTATTTTTTAAATCCCTTCCACTGTTGTGAGGATGGCGTGGTCTAGGGTACAACTATTTGCTCATAAGTAGAGACAAAAAGACCAGCAAGGAGACTGTTGTCATAGAGTCCAGGCAAAAGAGGAGGGCAGTCTGGAGAAGGGTGGCAGAGGCGGGGAAAAGTAGCCAGGTCTGGGATGGGGCTTGAAGGTAAAACCTGGCAGGGCCTGTGGAACGCCATGAGCCTGGGGTGGCAGCAAGAGGCAACTAGGACAGACAGGTTTCAAGGGTGGCTCCTAGGCTTTTGGCTGGACCACCCTGCTGGTGGACGGGGGACTGGGAACCATGAACCGTTCACTAAGGCCAGGAAGACTAGGGAGGTACAGATTTGTCCTGATAAAACTAAAAGTTAGGGGAAAATAGAGAGGTTAAGTAACTTGTCCAAAGTCACATCACTAATATGTGAGCCGGGATTCAAATCCAGTCAGTCAATCTCTAGAGCTTATTTTTTGACTGCAGCATGTAGGGGTGCCTGGGCGGTTCAGTGGGTTAAGCAACCGACTGTTGATTTCAGGTCAGGTCCTGATCTCAGGGTCCTGGGATCGAGCCCAGGCTCTGCACTCAGCAGGGACTCTGCTTGGGATTCTCTGTCTCTCCCTTTGCTCCCTCCCATTCATGACCTCTCTCTCTCAAATAAATAAATCTTTAAAAATAAATGAACTGCAGCATATAAAGACAGCTACGCATGAGAGCTCTTCTTTGAAGAAAGCAGATTGTCCACAGAACCACAGTAGCTCACTGACCTGCTCAACGTGGCCCTTCCGCATCTCCAGCACGGCCAGGTTGTTGTAGGCCTCGGCGTGGTTGTTGTTGTTGACCAGAGCGAGCCGGAAGCACTGATGGGCCAAGTTCATGTCTCCTATGCCCTTGAACAGAAAAGCAGGTATTCACACACACAGCTCCATACTTTTACACCCACCATCTCCTCCCTTCTTTCCTTGTGGTATCTCTTCTGCTACCAAGCAACAAGTACCGATCATAATCAAGTGTGAATTGTACGTATGAGGATCCAACCTGAGAAAATGAGTTCTAGGGTGACTCTGAGAAATCACACAGTTGCTACAGAAGACCGTAACCAAATCTGGATTTACGCTACCTGAACATTTCTTCAAACTAACTTATGGCTACCTTTTCTATACCAGAAATTACATTAGAGAAACAGCCTACCACAGCTACGTGGCCCAGGTTGTACCAGACATCAGCTGCCTCTTCTTCGTTTTCAGCCAGAGCAAGGGCACGCTCAAACGAGGTCAGAGTCATATCATACTGCTGGGCATAGAAGCAGCAGAGCCCCAGATTGTTAAAAAGCTGGCAGTTATAAACACCCATCTGCAGGAGTCGCCTTTTCAAAAAAGAGCACACATATTTTGGTGTCAGACCAACTCGATAAATAATAAGACCTATTTTTTTTAATAAAGTTAGAAATGTTTTATAACTTTTAACATCCCTGATGAATACAAAGTATTATAAGAAATGAAAAAAATGTCAAAGCAAATACAAAAGCATGTCTTTTTTAAAGGTCCTGGTCATGGGCAGTGTATCAGAGGCAAGGTCAGAATCAACTCACGTACGTTCTTTTCCCCCAAAAAACTGTTAGAGACCCAAGACACAAGAGTCGCATAGAGTAAAACCCACAACATTGTGCTTCATAAAGGTTTGGTGTCAGTCAGTAAACCTCTAGGACCTTCTAATTTGAGGGCTGTGTTTAGGATTTACCTTCAAGTTTTCAGCTAACGTAAAGCTTGGTTTTGGTTATCTGCAGTATATATACGCTGTGTCTACTGACCTTCCGGTGAGCTTCCACCAAAGAAGACAAGACCATCAGTGCGATCCTTACCTTATCCACTGAGCTCTCATGCTGGAGTTCAAAAAACCCATTTGTTTCTACTCATCATTAATCCCCAAAGACAAGATCGTTCACATAAGCGAATGAAAATCCACCTCAGCGGCTCTGAGGAACCCATGACCCACTTTTGGGGTGGGAGAGTAGAGGCAGCTGCCTATGCCTAAAACAGCATTCATTTTATCATAGTTTATGCTGCTGACATATATTTGGAAAGAACTCTTGTCAGCAGCCAGTTATCTCCTTGTATATTACCTAAGGGCAGAAGAGGAAATCAAAATTTGAAAAATTAATCTCAGAAGCCATCTGTAGGATGAAATAAGAACACGCTCAAAAGAAAACCAGAGATCAGAACTTATTTAGGCTTGGAAAACTTATCTGGACAGGAGTTGACAATACGTCACAAAACAGGGGAACCTGTTTCAGGTCCTTGTCAGAGCTCGGGACCTGGTACCCAGTGCTCTCTGCAAATCTCATCACTATTTCAGTTTCGGGGTCTTTATATGCTGTGTGGTGGTATTAAGGGAAGCCGTGATGGGCAGAAGTGTTTCCGGGAACTACTGAACAGTTGTTCATTGACAACAAAATGGCTAACTCATCCAACGACATGGCGTTAAAAACTCACTTATCCAGGTACGTGTCCACAAGATGCCAAATACCAACGCGTTTTCAAATTCTTACATGTCACCTGAATGCTCATAAAACCTCTGGGTGCTTGAATGGTTAGTCTCCTAGAGACATGGCCTACATATTATCTGTCTGCATGTCCACTCCATCTTTATTGCTGCTGTACTGATATTTCACAGGAAAGTTCTACAAAAAGACTGTAAAAGCACACCTGTAAAACCGCAGAGCTATTTCTGGCTGATCGGAATAAAAGTGGTTGCTTCCAATGCAGGCAATGGCTTCCACATGAGTATTGTCCTGTTTCAGAACTTCTTTGTAGTATTCTGCTGCTGATGAAATATTGTTCATTTCCTATTCTCCACCAAGACAGAAGAGCAATACTTCAGTGCCAAGAAATTATTTTTCTTCTGGCTGATTTATGTTCATTCATTCAACAAATATTGAGAGCCTACCCTGTGCCAGACTGTGTTCTAGGCCCTGAGGACACAATATGAATAAAAAGACAAAGCTAGCTATCCTCAAGGAGGGTACAGCTAGCAAGGAAGACAAACGAATGAACGGATGGGCGATATAATGTCAGACAAGTATAACTGATGGGAAGAAAAGCAAGGAGACGGACACCTGCGTGGCTCAGTCAGTTAAGCCTCTGACTTCGGCTCAGGTCATGATCTGGGTCCTGTGATGGAACGTGAGTTTGGCTTCCTGCTCAGCGGGAAGTCTGCTTCTCCCTCTCCCTCTGCCCCAGCCCCCCACCCCCAGCTTGGGCTAGCTCTCTTGCTCTTTCTCTCTCAAATTAATAAAATCTTAAAAAAAAAAAAAAAAAGGCAAGGAGAGAGAGGAAGGGAAGGATGGAGCAGAGGAGTAACATGGCTGTATTTACGTTTTTGAAGAATAATTTGATGGCTACACACAGGAATACACCGAAGTGGGGAAGAATGGTAGCAGGGATAGCCAGAGTCCCCCCAGTAATCATAAGTCAATGCATTCAGTGTTATTAATGTCCTAGCTCTCAAGTCCACCTTCAAGGCCAGTGCAGGCTCCACAGTCCTCATGGAGATATCCCTAACGTCCTCACTTCACGTAACTCTCTTCTGCCTCTGAGTTTATACAACACATACTGTGGGAATCTCTCACTTGGTCTTATCATATGAGGACTCCTACTTCTCATTAGATTTTCATAACATTTTATCAACTCTAAGACACTCCACTGTTTTAAGAAGAACCACATATACTTTCTTATCACACAGAACTTTTTTTTTTAACCTCCATGGACTTCACTATGGTTTTTTAGTTTCAGGACTTTATTATTTATTATTATTATTTTAAGAGCTGGTTTAGGTTCATACCACAACTGAGGGGACAGTACAGAGATAAATGCATTTTGTTCAATATCAAAAAATTACAGTCATTAATATTATCCCCAATCTCATCCATTATTAGTAATATGAAAACCGTTTTGACCTTGTGGACCCTCTGAAAGGGTCTCAGGGACCCCAGGGAATCCCTGGACCACACTTTGAGAAATGCTGATATTAAAATATTTGGGGCCTTTCTTCCCATTCTTCCTCACTCATTCCCGTAAGGCAATCTCAGCATGCTCGTTTCAGCCCCTTCTGGATCTCTTTGGAAGCCAACCTTGCTGCGATGTGCCCAGCTGCTCTGCCCTGCCATGTGCAGCAGGCTTTCTGGGCAGAGAAGGTCTGCAGGTCATATGGTCATGTCTGTGATCTGGGTGGATCAGGCTGTCTAACTCAGGGGCAGAATTCTATTAAGTCCTCTTGGTCACAGAGCTAAAGCCACTTGCTCCAATTCGGCTTTTATCAGTGATAAGTTAGTGGTTTATCTTCTATTTTTCTGAATCTTATTTCTATCTTGCAGTTGTTTCTCAGCTTGGATATTAGTTCCATAAAACATTCATGAGTTGATCCAAATTCATTCTGTATGTATATTTGTTCACATACTTTCTATTTGAAATTCTTATTCAAAGCCCTGCCAGGATTTAGTTCCTTAAGAGAAGAGGCTTTTTCATTCATTGTTTGTAGCTGAAAAATAAGTAATTTTTTTTTTCAAAACACAAGGCTGTTGATACGTTCATTAATTGGGACTTCATTCTCTCCTGAATTTTATACCGCTTTTACGTGCAACTATTCCAAATAGTCTTTAATAATTTAAGAATGTAAGAATCTATTGAAAAGCATGAATAATAAAGAATTTCACCAGAAGTGTATTTTCTACTTTTTGGTTAAAAAAAAAAAAAACACCTTGTAAAACTTAAAAGGAAAAAATAGATGAGCACCTTAACTCTCTCCCCTATAGTCCCTCCTTCCTAGACTGAATGTTTGTGTCCCTCCTAAATTCATACTGAAGCCCTAATCTCCAACATGATAGTACTTGGAAGTGGAGTCTTTGGGAGGTAACTTGGTCATCAGGATGAAGCCCTCATGAAAGGGCTTAGTGCCCTTAAGGAAGAGACACCAAGGGCACCTTGGCGGTTCAGTTGGTTAAGTGTCTGCCTTCCACTCAGGTTATCCTGGGATCGAGTTCCTGCTGAGCAGGGAGGCTGCTTCTCCCTCTGCCCCTCCCCCTGCTCTCTCTCTCCCTCTGTCTATCTCAAAAAAAATAAAAATCTTAAAAAAAAAGAGAGAGAGAGAGATACCAGAGAGATGATCTCTCTCTCTACCATGTGAGGATACACAGAGAAGGCGTCTATCTACAGACTACAGAAAGGGCCCTCACTAGGAAATGAACTGGCCAGCACCTTGATCTTAGACTTCCCAGCCTCCAGAATTACGAGAAATAAATATATGTCCTTTAAGCCTCCCAGTTTATGGTATTTTGTTACAGCAGCCTGAGCAGACTGATATATTGTCCTTCCAAAGAATAATCTCCACACCTAGGCAGTGACTAACTGAGCCTAATGGCCTTGAGAAGCCTGGGTTCCAAGGAACATGCCTCTTCTGGTTTCCAGGGCAACAACATCCCACTGTGCAAGGCTTCAGTGCTACTGTTGTCAAAGTTGGTGTATTCGTCTGCTGCAGCTGGTATACCAAAATACCATAGACTAGGTGGCTTAAACAACAGAGCTTTATTTCCCCAAAATTTTGGAGGCTGTAAGTCCAAGATCAAGTTGCCAGCATGGTGAGGATCTAGGGAGGACTCTCTTACTGGCTTACAAAGGGCCACCTTCTCACTGTGTCCTCAGATGGCAGAGCAAGCACCAGCACACTCTGGTGTCTCTTCTATTAAGGGCATTAATCCCACCATGAGGGCCCCACAAGGGTCTCAAAAGGCCTCATCTCTAAATACCATCACACTGGGGGTTAGCGCTCCAACATATTAATTTGGGAAGGACACGATTCAGCCTAATGCAAAAAGACTCCAGCCTGAATGGATGATTGTTTCAAGGCTTTCAGTTGTATAAAATTACCTTGGAATGTTTGTATACTTGATTGATAGGCATATAATTTATGTCATCTTGAGGAATTTTGGACTGAAACTAATTTATGTTTTTGGCAACCTCACATGTAGTTTTTAAAATGTGTTGTTGTAAAATGTGTGCTATGCTAAATAAATTTAAACACTGCAAAAGGTTATAAAATGAAAATAGTCCCCTCTCCAAATCCAGTCAGAGGTTCTGTGAATAGTTTGAGTATTTTTTTCTATTATATATTTTTAAAGATTTATTTATTTGATGGAGAGCAAGCATAAGCAGGGGGAGCAGCAAACAGAGGGAGAAGCGGGCTCCCCAGGGAGCTTGATGTGGGGCTGGGTCCCAGACCTTGGGATCATGACCCGAGCCGACAGCAAACGCTTAACTGCCTAAGCCACCCAGGTGCCTCTAGTTTGAGCATTTTTCAGGAAGTTTTGTTCACATAAGTGTAGATGTATGCAAGTTTTAACCATAAAATAATCATTCTACATGGTTTCTTTTTCTTTCCTTTTTTTTTTCATTCTATACGTTCTGATATATGGCTCATTGTTTTCGCTCTGTGTCTTGACTCTTTCCATATCAGCACAAAGGGTTCTACCCCATTACTTTTTTATTTCTGCAGTTTTCCATCTATATAGACCACAGTTTATTTAACCAGCCCCTTTTTCATGAAGCATTTGTTTCCTTTTTTTTTTTTTTGCTATAAAAATACTATAAAATCATCCTTGTACATATCTTTCTGAACTTGTATGAAAACATCCTTAAGGAAAATTCTACAAGTGAAATTGCTGGGCCAGAGTATGCACGCTAGGAAATCTCATCAGTAATCGCAAACAGCTTCAAAATGGGTTGTGCCAACATACACTCCCAGCACCAGTGTTTATACGTGGGGTGTGTTCTCACAACTTTGACAACCCTACATGTCCTGGAACTTCTCCATCTCTGTCAACCTGATTAAGTAAAAAAAGGAATCTCATTATTTTAGTTTTTATTTCTTCAATTATGACTGAGGTTAGGCATTTAATACACACCTCTTTGTATTTCCTTTTCTGTGAACTGCCAATTCATGTCATTTACCCATTTTCCTATCTTATCTTTTGTCCTTTTATTAGTGACTTGTGTAATGGGGGCTTGGATGGGAAACTGTCCTCCTGAATACAGGAGAGCTGGGGGCAGACATGCAGCTCAGAGATCTCTGGACACTGACTCTGCTTTCTCCTTTTAAATTAAATGAGTCTGCTGATGTGACTTAAGTTCAAAATCCAGGAAGTCCTGGTGTTTATAAACATTTCCTTCAGAGGAAAAGTATAGATGGTTTAAGTTCTTCCAGATGGGTCTTACTGAGCCCCAGTATGAAAGGCATTTTGGTGTAGCCACAGTATAGCTGGAATTAGGGGCTGTCTCATCTATAGGGTGATTTTACTTGCATCAAGAGGATCAACAGCTATGATGCACGCCAAGAGGAAAACAAGGGCCTACGCAAAAGCCACCCCACGATTTTGACCCACAACTGCTCTAAGGAAACACCTCGTTTCCATAAGTGTTTACAATTTTGGCTAAATGAGAACCTATAAGTTTGTTTGTATCCACATTTGTGCGTGTGTGTGCGTGCGCATGTGTAATTCTCCCACCAATCTGGAAACCACTTGAAATTCAGCAACTTTTAAGCAATGTATAGATTGAGGAAATTAAAAGTAGTCTTTTGTCTGTCTCAGGTATGGCAAATATTTTCCCGTTGGATATTTTTACACCGTTTATTTGTTTTGGTTTCATTTCTATTTTTTTTTTAAAGATTTTATTTATTTATTTGAGAGAAAGAGACATAGTGAGAGAGAAAACACAAGCAGGGGGAGTGGGAGAGGGAGAAGCAGGCTTCCTGCCCAGCAGGGAGCACAGTGCGGGGCTCGATCCCAGAGTCCTGGGATTGTGACCTGAGCTGAAGGCAGCGGCTTAACAGACTGAGCCACCCAGGCACCCCTATTTGTTTTTATAAAAAAACTTAACTTTATAAAAAACGTATTTAACTCTATAGAAAATTTAACTTTTATCTTCTCAAATTCAATCTTTTCTGTTATGGCTTTCGACTTTCTATCACACTTAGAAAGGTCTTCCCATTCCAAGTTTATACAAATAATTCATCTGCGTCTTTTTTTCTGGAACTTTCATGGTTTTAAATCTTTGAGTCATCTGGCAGTAATAGATTCTTTTAGTATAAGAAATCATTATTCATCCAGCTCTATTTTTTTTAAAATCATCCAATAGTCCAATTGGTTTTAATAGGCAGTCTTTACAACATTGTAAATTGTCATATGTATGAACATACGTAGACTCTATTTTGCTCCTTTAATCTATCCCTGCATTAGAATTGTTTAATTTATAGTAACTCTAGAATAAATTTTGCCAATGTAGATTTAAAAAATATTTTCAAATATATAAATGTCACCTCAAGTATATAAATAACCATAGTATCATTTAAGTGATGTTGATAGTGGTTATTTTGGAACAAATTCACAAAATACTATGATTTGATTTAAGTTATTTAAAATAAAATGGCAGATAACTTGAGGTGAATGTTGCAGTGGTTCTCACACTCTGTTATACATCAAAACACCTAGTGAGCTCAAACATACAAATAATTGCCCGAGTCCTGCCTTCCAACACATCTGATTCAGTAGGCAGAGGATAGGCTGCACTTTTCAACCACTCCTAAAGTTATTTTTACACACAGAAAACTTCAGGGACACTAGAATAATATCTCCTAGGGTAACATTTCCAATTTCAAATATCTTCAACAAAGAATAGTCCAGAGACCTGCCTTTTGAATGGATAAACAGAATTCCTCAAGAACAATTAAAACCACAACCAAATAAATTTAGCAAGAATAAATCATTTTAAACAAAAAGTGAATGAACACTAGGCAGTACAACATGTTCGTTTTAAAACAGGAGAACACTGAAAATATACAAGATCAAAATGAATGTGATAAATAAAAAAGAACATAAAGGAGGAGGATCCCTCAAGTGAAAAGTCTGATGTACATACAAAAACCCCAAAGGCATATGTAGGGTAGACTGCAATGCTAACTTTACTAATTAACTCCAAAATCATTGTCACAGAAAAAGAATACACTGGAAATCTGTCTTTATATGGTAAACTTTGGCACAAGGGAAATTAACTATTAGGTTCAGTGGGAAATACTGCATATCACTCCTTTAAATTTGCGTTTAGTCCTTAATCATGCTTTCTGCGGATGATATATCGTCCCCACAACTTGAATGCTTTCTTCTCCACTTTGAGAGTCAACTACAATTCTACTTTTCTCCCCAAACCTTCCCTGTAGACTTATAACCTTCAAAGCCTGGTCAGATCCTGAGCACAGGAAGGATGAAGGGAGCTGGTTAAGGGTCTACTCCCTGTCCCAGCCCGAGCAATAGTGACTATAACAGAGGGTTGGCAGGAATTCTTCCAACTAGCAACCATCAGAGATTCCACAGATTTCTAGCTCTTTCTGCCAGTACTTCCTGCCTGAAAAGAAGGGCAGAAGGACTGAAATGGGCAGAAGGCGGAGCTTAAAGGTCAGAGAACTCTGATCAGACTGAGGCAGTCACAGCTCTATATAAACACCACAATTATATTTCTTAAGTTTCTTGGTCAAAATTTTGTTCGTGCTCAATTTAGAGTCACACAAGGACAGATACAGAGATACAAATACAGCATTTTATTTTTATTGAATGATCACAGCCTCTTCCTTCTGTGTTTATCAGAATTATATTTCAAAAGGGGAAACAGTATTTCCAGACAATTTAAAAATAAAATTTGCTTTTCATTTTAAAAGTAATGCATGCTCATGAGAGAAAATCTGGAAAATACAGAAAGTATGAGAAAGAAAATAAAAGTCATTCATATACTATTATCCAGTTATAGCAACTATTAATATCTTCCACTCTTTAGCTAAAATAATTTTACAACATTGTACCTAGAATTTCAAGGAATGTAAGAGAGTACAGAGATGCTTGTCAATATTGTATGGGAAGTCCTAAACAATAACTTTTTTTTATTAAGTGGCAAAATAATTGAAATGAAGAGATGAAGCTATGTTTGCAGATGATGACTATTTTATTGACTTAGAAAATCTAAGAATTTTTGGATAAGGTATTAAAATGTAAAAGGGGTATTAGGTCTATTTTTTAAAGATTTTTAAAATTTATTTATTTGAGAGAGAGAGAACACGAGCAGGGGAGAGGGGCAGAAGAAGAAGGACAAGCAAACTTCCCACTGAGCAGGGAGCCCAATGTGGGGCTCATCCCAGAATCCCAGAAGGCAGATGCTTAACTGACTGAGCCACCCAGGCACGCCAGTATTGGGCCTGTTTTCTAGTATCAAATGAACTTTAAAAAATTAATGTATTCCTAGTTACCAGAAATAGTCAAATAGAACATACAATAGAAAAAAAAGGATTCTATCCATTGTTATACCTAGGGATGGATCTCTGCAGGAAAGAGTGTTACAAGCCTGAAACTGTTGTTCTTAGAAAGGCCAGTTTATAAGGTTGGTCCCTGGGCATCCAAGAACTTGGTGGGTTCTCTATATTGATATAAAACTTCCCTCAAATGACAAGAGGGGCTCATACATGTAAACTTTTTGTATAAAGAGTATGGTGCATAAACCTGATATGGTGTAGGAACACCTGCTTTATGTCTGGGAGTCTGGTATTTTGGTACAAGGTAGGCAGAAGGTGCCCATATGACCAACGCCCAGGAGTCACCTTGAGTACCAAGTCTCTCATGAGTTTTCCTTACAGACAGTTCTTCACACATGTTGTCACAACTTGTTGGAAGAATAAAGTGTGTCCTGTGTGATTCCACTAATGGACAACTTTTAGAAGCTTGTATGCCTGATTTCCTCTGAACTTGGACCCATGTGCCTTTTCCCTTTACTGAGTTTGCTTTATAGGCTTTTGGTATAAATCTTAGTCGTGAGTACCACTGAATGCTTAGTCCTGAGTCCTTCTAATAAATCAGTGAAACTCAGGGTGGTTTGGGGAATCCCCAATATAACATCTTCATGGAGATAATTACAAAATGTTCAATAAAAAACAGAAGACCTAAATAAATGGAGAATTTTACCATGATAGAGAGTGTGAAGAAGGGCAGCCACTCACCCCCATCAGTCATATATTCAATGTAATTCCAATCACTATGCTTGTAGGCATTGTTTTGATTTTTAATGGTTCATGATAAGTCAATTCTAAAATTAATATGGAAGAGCAAAGGGCCAAGAATAACCAGCTGTGACGGAGAGTAGGTGGTAGAATTTGTCCAACTTGAGATCAAGAATTACTTACTATAAAGCTATAGTAATTAGGCAGTGGGAAGGTATCTCAATGGGGCTTTCTGTGGAATGTGACATGATTCTAAAGTTTGTAAAAATAAGTAAGTCCAAAATAAATAAAACATTCCTGATAAAGATGAAGAACCATACCAAGTAGGATGTGAGGCCTCAATAATTAAGACGGTATAATACTGGTACAAGGATAGACAAACAGAACAAAAGAACAGAAAGCCCCCAAAACATATTGACCATATATGGAAAAAAGTTGATATTTGACATTACAGACCTTGGGAGAAGGATCAAATAGATATGCTGGACAAAAAGCTATCTATAGTGGGAAACTCACTGAAATCCCTATTTCATACCACACGCCTTACTCTTCTGTATGTTTGAAATACATCATAATAAAAACTTAGTTTGACGAAATGCATACACTAAAATCTCTTACTCGGTTAGTAAAACACAGGTCAGTAATCATAATTTTACAAACTGTTCTCCTTCCTAGGATCCCAAGGGCCTATGAGCTTACTTAAGTATCATATAACCTCAATTTCACATCAATTTTTTGAATAATATAAATCTTACCTCATAGATCCTGGCAATTCCACAAAGTAAGGTTACTTCTCCTGGAAACTTATCTAAGCCTTGTTTGAAAAGATTTAAAGCCGTCACTGGTTGATCCAATGAGACATAAACCTAAAACCAAGACACATTTCAATAAAAGTACTGGTTTTTAAAATAACAGTGTTTGTTATGACAAGTTTATAATTATTGCTCATTAACAGATTATCTCCTAGATATTATAAGTAAAATCTTTTCAGAAACACGGATTATTTTTCAATAGTGATGTTATAGTTTTATCTTCACATCATATATGAAACATCCATTAATTTATTCCTTCAATAAACACTCATGACAGACTTGCTATTACCTCAGAGACCAAGCAGTAACTCAATAAGAGAGGAACGAGGGAAAATTTTTTTAGGATAGAACAGACAGGAGTATGTCTATAAGCGGGTACAAAGGAACCAATTATGAGATGGAAGTTGGAGACACAGGAGAAAGAGGGGAGGACCAAGCAGCAAGAAGGTCTGAGAAAGAGCAGCAGTGGAGAGCCTGTGGAGAAGGTTGTTTTGGACAAGGGCCCTCGGAAATAGAGGAGGAACAGATTTGTGAGGAATGGGGTCATGGAGCTGAGAAAGGTAGCCCTTAATGGCTTCTACTTAATTAGCAATTAGGACATTAGCACAAATAAATCCTATATTCTGTAGGAATTTCTAAAATAGGGAATTACAGTTTTAGGCATGGAAACATAAGAGTAAGACATTTTTTCTTCATGATCTCGGATCCTCTATTTCTTTCCAAATAGACTGTGCTTTGAAGGTGGCCCAGATGGAACCACAGAAAAACTGTTTGTAGTGTTTAGTGCTGAAGTATGAGATTAAAGGGAGAGGTATGGATGAAAATATTTCAACTTTTACTTTATACACTATTGAACTGCTTTTTTAAATACAATAAATAACATATCAAGTAATATAAAACATTTATTTTTTAAAAAATTAACAATCTAGGGGCGCCTGGGTGGCTCAGTGGGTTAAGCCTCTGCCTTCGGCTCAGGTCATGATCTCAGGGTCCTGGGATCGAGCCCCGCATCGGGCTCTCTGCTCAGCAGGGGGCCTGCTCCCCATCCCCCACCCCCGCTTCTCTGCATACTTGTGATCTCTCTCTCTGTCAAATAAATAAAATCTTACAAAAAAAAATTAACAATCTAGTATTTTCAGAAATAATATTATTCCTAAATGAGACTGATCTCTATTTCATAGCAATTATTTTTCATATATTAAAGAAAAGAAGTAAATTTTACTTTTATACAGTCACATAGGCAGTAATAGATTTAAGCAAATCAATTCATGGAAAAATATGTCAAACCATGTATTCAACAAGATTTAAAAAATGTATTTTTTTTAACCACCTGGCAAGTGATTATCAGTTAAAAAGATGAGTTAAAGAGCGAGACCTGAGTTTTAATTTCAAGGTATCTGAAAAGTCTAAAAGTCACTGTGAAGCTTAGAAACTTCTTTAAGAATTTTAGGTTTAATATATAATGTACATAAGGTGGACTTATTCTCAAACATCTCTTAAAACTATAGTAAACAAGATTATTTAGCACCATAAGCTTACAGAGTGTACCTTCATTCTGTTTCTTTTTAGTATGCAAATTCTTAAAACCATACTTAGGAAGTAGTGGCACTTCCTTTGATAGCTCTTCTTTTCAACCTCCTTTCACAAAACTTTTTAATTTTAAAAAATTCATCAAGATACAGCAAGATGATGTCCTAACCACCACTTCATCAAATGTTTCAAATAACCCTGGTGAGGGCCCAGAAATCACTTTTTCCCAGGACCAAAAATTCTGGGGGGTGGCTGTGTGGGGGCCGTAGGGTGAGTTGGGAGCACTGGCTCTGAACAGCCAGGTGACCCTGAAAATCCTGTTTCGCCTCTTTAAGTATCCAGGTCATAAGAATACAAAGGAAATGTTAAAACCTAGGTTGTGGGGGGTGACTACAAAGCTTAAATTCACGTGTGGGTGGGACAGACTGGACAGAATACCTCCTCCTGAACAGGTGTTCAATCGAGGCGAGGTACTGTCTTTGTCATTATGGCAGAGCCAAGAAGCCCAGAACCTCCATGAAAACAATTCTGGTTCTCTGCAGTCTGCTGCGGTGGGAGACAGGCATGCTGTAGAAAAGAAGACCTCTCTGGGGCCCGTTACCCACAGGGGGTGGGAATTAGCCTGTGGCAGTTTCTTCTGCTCTCATGGGCAATCTTTCAAAGGGGTTTTCTTATTTTTCATGGCAATCAATTTCTCCTGAGACAGTTACCCTCCATATGTTCTCACTTTTCCACTTGCTATAAAGAAAAATAAGTCTGAGCACATTAACTTGCCAACAATTCCTGAAGAAACTGGCAACTCTCCATATACATTGGCCAGAATTTGAACATTTATTTTGAGAAGACAGATTTCACTCCAGTTAAGAATACTTACTTACTTTTGCCAAGTAGAGAAATGTATCTACCATTTCCTGCTGCTTCAGGGCTGATTTAAACTGTTTTTCTGCTTCACGATACATTCCTAACCTAAGAACAGCCATTTTAAAAATGAGACATTCAACTTAAAAATAAATGCTACAGCACTTATTCACACACACAGGATATGAATAGAGACAAATCACATTTCTAAGAGTAAGCGTGTACCGAAGAAGGTAATGTCACACACACAAATTATTATCAGCATTATATGTAGATAGTTGAGCACAAAGGTGCCCATTTCCCACATTTGCTGTCCATGTAACCCTCCAGTGGTGCGTAACAAGTCTGTCCGCAGCCTGGACACAGCAGGACTGACAGCTGCCAGCAGCCAGAGCACATCAGTTTACCACCCAAAGAGCTCATAGTCAGCTAGACTTACGGCAATGACCTGAGTAAATGCACTGGGTCTCCATTTTATTAGAAGAACTTAAGGATGGCATTTCTTTGAAAACATGGTCTACTCTGAGACAAAGGCCCATTTTTGAAGCCCTTTTTAAACTGTTTTGATGTAAGTAGTAATTGCTTCTTGAATGATAGTTATACCGTTTTATGATTCTAGAAACATTTTTTCCTTTTTTATCTTCGTATCTGATACAGATTGTCCTAGTCTACAAATGTGAGATTTGTTCCTTGTCTAACGATAATAGTTAGTCCTGATATCAGCCCCATTTTTCTGCCCAGGGAACATTTTATTACAACTGAATCAGTCTTTAGAGCATTAAAGCTCAATCATTAAAGCACACTTGAGCCTGCTCTAGATCTGTTGGGCTTTCTCCTAATGACTCCTCCCTAGCCAGCCAAAAACTGCTTAGGCACTTTATGATGCTTTCATTCTGTGAAATGATTGTTTCATGAGATGTTCCATTGAGCTGCTTTCATCCAGAGCCTTGACAGAAGAGCTCTGACTTTCTTTCTACCCAGGTTGTCTAAGTTGAGCACTGGTATGGCTACACCCAAACAGCTGTTGGAATATATGAGATTGAGGAGGTTAAAAGGGACCCCCCCAAAACTGCCCTAAAGTTAGAATGTGTGAGATGGCAAAAGCCCCACCTCTTCAAAGTTCCCACAACTTTTACCAGGAATATTCACAAAATGTTACCAAAGAGCTCTCAAGTTCTGAAACACAGCATAGTTCTATAGAAAGCTTCAACTGAGCATTCAAATCTTAAGCATGTGGCTAAAGTTCAGCCACACTTAATTATCCAGGGAGTATGTACATTTCTATCTAATATGCCATCTCTTCCCAAAAATGATTTAAAAGGGATTATAGGGACCCCTCGGTGGCTCAGTTGTTAAGCATCTGCCTTCAGCATGGGTCATGATCCCAGGGTCCTGGGATCGAGCCCCATATCGGGCTCCCTGCTCAGCAAGAAGCCTGCTTCTCCCTCTCCCACTCACTCTGCTTGTGTTCCCTCTCTCACTGTGCCTCTCTCTGTCAAATAAATATATAAAATCTTAAAAAAAAAGATTGTAATATAATCCTATAAGATACATATATAAAACAAGAATATGAAAACAAATATTTTTTTAAACAATAGTGATGGAAAGATAAACAAATTAAAATTAAAAGAAAAAAAAGAGCAATCAAAGCCATTTAGCTACGCTGGGAACCAAAGAAAGGAAGGATGGGTCATATACATTTTTTTAATTACTACAGCCTCAAGAGATAACTTCTTCTAATACTAACAAAAAGGAATAACCACATGGGTTTTTCTGCAGGGGAAATTAAGTGGACAATGTATAAAGTTTAGGAATAAGGAAAATATCAGTCAAGTTCATGAATACAGGTCAATATCAGAGAGTCAAAGTCCCAAGATAAACCCACCAACTGCCAACCTTTTATCTCCAATTTAATTCAGTGAATATTGTATGCACAACTGTATGCACATTTCATGATGCAAAAATGAAGATTAAAACCATGAACTAACGGCACAAATAAGAATGGAACAAAACATGTTCACAAATAAAGGGAATCGTATTATGGCCAATAAGAGGAAAAAAAAGGTACATTGAGAGCACAGAGGAGGAGTGAGCCAAGATAGTTTCAGGGAGGAAGTGACAGGCACGATTTTGAGAGCTAGACAGGGTGGGGAGGGGTGGGGCAGGGGGATACCTTAGATGGAAGCAAAATATCAGCTCAGGCACATAGCAGAGTGCACAGCATGGAAGGGGAATGAGTTATTCGGTTTAACTAGAAAGGAGGACACAATAAGTATCGGGAGAAGGGAGTGAGGGGGCAAGCATGGACCAGGACCAGATCAGACATGCTACACTTAAAATGCAGACTCCACCCTAGAGGTCATGGAGATTAGCCAAAGAATCCAACAAGAGCTGTTTTTTCCACAAGTTATGCTGGCAGTGGTATATAAGAAGGATTGGGGAGCAAGAAAATGGGGGCAGAAAACCAAGGTAAGAAGCTAATGGAACAATTCAAGCAAACTAAAAATCAGAATTTAGGCACTGGAGTGGGAATCCGGTGATAGGGGAGCTACTGTAGACCATCCGGCAGAATTTACCGGTCAGGAACAAAGAGATACAGGTCAACTGGGGCTCCATCTTCTGGTAATCCATCCTTGACCTCTCCAGCCCAAGTTAGGAGCTCTTTCTCTGTGCTTCCTGTGCTTGCTTCTGTCACAGTGGAGGCCGTGCTTATCACTGTTTACTGTCCTCTCTCCCCCATTGGACTGTAAATCCTTTGAAGGAAGGGCTATCTAATAAATATTTGTAACCCCTGTGCCTGGCTCGTTAAATATCTTAGTGAGTCAGGAGTGCTGAGCACATACTAAAGATGAGAGGCTATTAAGGGACAGAGGAGAACTAGGATTAATATGGCAAGGTAAACTCATTTAAATGCCATCTTGTACTGATGGCAGAAGGAATCCAAATTGTGCTTTTCTTTAATTATTAAAGATTTCTTAAGGTTTTATTTAGAAGCTCAAGATTTCAAGCTTGCTTTCAGAAATTACATTCATAAAAATTTAATGGTATAATGCTATAAAATTACCTTTTAGTAGAAAATACTTCCTCAGTCTAGCAGCAGAAAAAACACTTAAGTTCTATATAAATTATCTAAGTGGAAAGTAGTCTTAATTTCAACCAAAAAAGAATAAGCATCCTTTTTATTCCATTTATATATTTCCTTTTCCTCACAGTGTTTGGTAAGTAAAGTTCGTAAGTACTAAAGGATGCTCACAGTAACTGGTCTACCTTGTTCTGAATACCAAACAATGTATTTATATTTGTAAAATACAGTAATTGCCCATTTGTCTCTATTTTTCAAAGGCTCCAATACCAGGCAACAAGTTTTAGTTCTCATTTACTAGTTGTTGTACAATATTATAAAATTAATTACAATTTTTCTGACCTTTCAATTAATTTGCTTAAAAATGTGTGTAGGGGCACCTGGGTGGCTCAGTCAGTTAGGCATCTGACTCTTGATTTCAGCTCAGGTCATGATCTCAGCATCATGCGATCGAGCCCTGTGTGGGGCTCCATGCTCAGCGGGAAGTCTGCTTGAAGAGTCGTACCCTCTGTCCCACCCCCACTTGTATGCACACTCTCCCCCTCCCCCAAAAAAGTGTGTTTAAACATTAAGTGAATTAATGTAAGAATATTCAGATTCTAAACTGTGTGAATTCTAAATTGTGTGAATTTGGACAAGTCACTTTATCTTTCTGAGGCTCAATTTTTCTCATCTGGACAAAGAGCTAATGATAATAGCAATAATCTCCAGGTGCTGTGAGATTTAAGTGAGATAATGTTACATGTGGAGAAGCAAGCTCTCAACTGTGAAGCACTTTACAGATGTGAGGCATCAAGGGACATAAAAAGATCTGCGAGCAAGAGAAGAGGAATGGGAAGCACCAGACAGTTCTAACAGGTCCGTTACTAACTAGTCTTTCACTAAGGAGTTCCTGATGAAAATTACAGGCTTTCTCTGGCCTCAGCTTCCTCACCTGAAAAGGTGTGTTGGATCTGATGATCTGCCCAGCACTACCATTTTATTATTCCAAAGGTATGAGTTCTTAGTGCTACCATGTTTAAATGTTTTCACACCTAAGTCAAAGACATAGTTCTCATTTCTTCCCGAGGAAATCAACCCACAAAAAAATAACGATCAGAGTTGAGACTCTAAAATATGCCACCTATTTAAGCCCTTCACAAATAATCAAAATTTTACCTGTAGTAACATTTTCCAATCTGCACTTTCCACCACCAGTCCTTGTACTGAGAGTGCTCTGTGGACAGGGCAGCCAAGTCCAAAGCCTTTGAAAACAATTCATTTTGGATTAGGATTTTCTTTTTGAACAATGAACAGAAACAATAAATAATGAAATAAACCATATAATTAGCATCAATCAAAACATGCATTAGAAATCAGACAGAAACTCAAGTTGCTCATGTTTCCAGATGGCTCCACCAATTTTCCCTAAATAATCAGTTCCAGACTGGAGGGCTGGCAGCAGATGAATAGTAAAAACTGATCAAAGAAAAGCAGATGTACAATATATTAGAATACAGTTTTAATATACAGAGCACAAAATGGCTATTAAAAAATCCCCTAAGTTGTATGCTCTCCCCACCCTTTATCTACCATCCAATGTGTCAAAGCACCTCTAAACTCAGTGGCAGCCAAGCCTTCGGTGTGCCAGCCAGGTCCAACTGCAGGCCCCACTTGAAGACAGATGTAGAGAAATAGAGAAAGAGCAAGTAAGCAGAGAGGAGGAGGTCTAGAAAACAGCATCATGAAGCGCCAAAGGAGCAAGGGCACTTGGATATCCGTCATCTTCCATGGCCACCGTTCTATCATTCTGACCCCAGTTCACCTCTAGTGATGCTGAGGGTCAGACTCATCTTCACTGCAGACTGAAACAGATCTTCTGAGCTGCTTTCTTATTTTACATGTGTTTATCCCTTTCTCTCTCATGTCTTCTAGTTTGTTCCTTCTAGTGTTTATTCAAGATCAGACATGAGATGACTAAAAGGGACTTAGGATTTTATACAGAAGAAGCAGAAACCTTTTGGACAAAAAGGAAAGCAAGTCCATCTTTACACAAATTTGAAGCTCAGATGATCTGGTGAATTAAAACTCAGATTATTAGTTAAAAGAGAATTCTCATGTTTTATTTATGACTTGTTCTCTCAAGGTTGGAAAGCTCTTATTCTTTAGCCAGTGTTAGTATTACCGTGCTAGCCAACAGTTAAAGTAACTCTCAGATTTCAGTTCTATTAGCTCAGAATATATCCCATATTACTGTCCATGTCTTAATATGAACTCTTTCCTGAAATGCAAGCCAGATGAGTTCCTAACGCAGATTTAATAACTTTTCTTTGTGTTCCCCATCTTTTCTTGCTCCAGGGGAGACTTCTAAATATGCAAGCTCTTTATAAAGGTATGATATCACCACACTGAGGTTCTAATGGACCTGAAAAAAATCAACACCTCTATTGGAAAGCTATGGGAATTTAAAACAAGCCACACACTACTTTCATATGCTTATTTTCCTTTTTCCCCAAGCCAGAAATAAAAGTGGAAGCCAAAAAATGCGGGAGGAAGTATAACTTTCATTAGCATTATCTCTGAAAATACTCAAAAACCGTATTTTTTATCAGCTCAATTGAGGACTCCATTGTAACTATCTGAACATATTAATTTTAACTTAATCTTTACAAAGAACTCTTCCAGCAGATAGATCATATTCACTCTCATGTTTAATATAACAGACCTTCTAGTTTTTCAGAAAAATATGTCACTCTAAATTTGTCACATATTCCAATTTCCCAAGGTTAGGTTTAGCACTTACTACAGGCTGCTGAGTTTGCTGATGGTTCTAAAACAAGTCTTCCTATGTTAGATGTCTCATGTTTGTGCTGAACTGATTAAGAAAATTAACATGAATTGCTGGTATAGAATAAAAATTGTAAAAAAAATACATTTTAGTGATCATTCATCATATGAACACTAAGGGTTCACTAGACAAAACTATTTGTGACCATTTCAAATGGGCCTTAAGCTCCCTGAGGAAAGGTACTTCTTTCTTCCTACACATCTCTGTTGTTCTGATATGTTTCTATGCTATTTTTTGTCTATTTTTTTTATTAACATATAATGTCTTATTTGCCCCAGGGGTATAGGTCTGTGAATCGTCAGGCTTACACACTTCACAGCACTCACCATAGCAGTAAAAGGCTCTCGGGAATGATGTATTGATTGAATTAATTCTATTCCTTATTTCTGACTTTTATTGAAAATAACTTAAGAGCCAAACAAACTGTCATAGTAATAAGATTCATAATGAAAAGCTGTTAACATTTTAAAATGTTAAAGCAATGACAGATCTATATTTCTTTATTTTTCCCAATTTTTAAAAACAAATGACTACATAATATTTTAGAATCTTTGAATAATTTAATCAATCTGATATCTAGATATTAATGAAGGTCTAGAATGTCCTTAAAAGCCATAAGTTTATAAAAGTCCATAAGGAGAGGGGACCTTGGCAGATCTAGACCACATGATGTTTGTGAATATACCCGAGTGTCCCAGTGTATTTCTGAGTTAACAGTGCTCCAACCACTAATATTTTTTTTAAAAACCAGCCATCCTTTAGCTATTGTTTGAGTTGCAACAACTCTAGGATGATGAAATTAAAGCGCATATGGAAATAAAGATTCCAGAATCAGCCCACGTGCCACTTTAATTTTGCCAGTAGTGCCAATATCACCCCAAAAGGCACAAGCAAGGAGGGAAGGGGGTTAGTAAGGACTCAAAGGCAGAAACAGAGTTTTCCATAAATCAACTTTACTTATCGCCTATCACTTCATAACATTCTCTGTAGTTACGTACACTATCCTCCAGATTTGTCTATAGACAAATACAGAATCATCAACCCACACGGCACTTAGTTTTGTCAGTACAGCCCACAAAAACGGAAAAAGCATTAAGAATGGAAAGACAGGAGGACAGTTTTCCACGGAAGATCAATTTCATTCTTTTTTAACATTTAAGTACATCTTCACAGTATCCTCCCTATTTGTCTATAATATTCTCTGTATCTGTGTGAAATAGTTTACTGAAAAAGAAATTTGGAGGCCACCCAAAGTAACTAATATAAAAGTACCTCTGATTTCTTAAGGGTATTAAAAAAACAATTTCTCTCTTCTCTTTCCAGCTATAGTTGTAAAACATAGTTTGGGGAAAAAAAGGTATAAAAATGTACAAATGTATGCTTTCTGCTCATTTCCTAAATCCTTCCCCCATTGATAAAATAACATTTGTGGTAAAAATCTAAAATGACATCTTAATGGAACAAGCTGATCCATAACAGAACTATAATGTGATGAGCCCATAACAGAATAAAAAAACAGATACAGGGCGTCTGTCCTACTCGATACCGCTCACATGCATCACACGCAGGCACTCAATATTTCCATGTTTGAAGAATAACCCAATCAAGCAATAAGCCAATTGATAAATTAATGAATAAAAGGAAAACAGAGGAATGAACAATTTGTGCTTTTTACTAAGTAAAAACAAAAATTGCTTAGTTTCATGTTCCATAAAATATGTGTTTTGAGAGTAAGCAGATGAAAATAACAAGCAGCATGCAATTACAAGCATTTTAATTTTTACTGCCCCTAATTTGTAGCTAAACTTACAAATGAAATGTCATTATAATATTATTAAAAATTTTGGAAAAAAATGGATAAAATTCTAGTCAAATTAGATAATTTCCATTAGTGCCATGAGGTATAGATTTTTATTTACTATTATAATGTAAGCTATTGGCACCATGTAGGCATTAATAAATATTTGTAGAATTAATACAATATCAACCCTGTAATGCTTTTATTTCCAATTTTTGGTAATACCTTCTAGTATATGTTATAAGTATATATGTTTAGAGTGATAATTCTTTTTAATGTATGTGTTAAAGTATATAGTCGGCTTAACATTATAAACACTTTTCTGTTTCTGCCCAATTTTTATGATTATAACTTTTAATGGCTGCATAAAGGCCCAGAACACAGTATGTTATAATTTACTAAGCTCATCTTCTATCATTGAACATAGAGTTTATCGTAGTCGTCTTTGCTACTACAACCAATGTGACAATGAACATCTTTGTAACTACAGCACTTCTTTGTGAAATTTCTTGAAAAGGGAAATTACAGAAACAAATTAAGTATGTTTACAGCTATCTGTTTCATATTATCATACCCTTTTCCAAAATATTATACCATGTAAAATATTATCTATAAAGTATCAGTATAAAAATTACTCTTCTCTCTCCCAGCATTTTTCCCAACTTTCATAAACAAAATTGTAAGTCCAAAATTCCTTTAACTTACATTTTTGTGTTAGAAAGTACATCTCTAATGTGCTTGTTTACTGGCATTTTCTCTAATGTAAATTTTCTGTTTCTGGATCATTTCCATTTCCATAAAACATTTCCTAACAAAGTCAGATGAGCTTTTTCCTATTTACAAACACTAACATTTTAAAATCATGCTCATATACATATTTCACCCTTCTGTTGTCCTTCTATGTTTCATTTTGTTTTGTTTCTGCTCACTGTGCAGAGATATAAATGAATCAGTTAAGTCTTTATCCTTTGTGATTGCTTTATAAATCCAACCAAATCTGTGAACTATTCTGTTACTTACTGGTTTAATTTTTTTTTTAAGATTTTACTTATTTATTTGACATACAGAGATCACAAGTAGGCAGAGAGGCAGGCAGAGAGAGAGAGGAGGAAGCAGGCTCCTCGCGGAGCAGAGAGCCCGATGCAGGGCTTGATGCGGGGTTCGATGTGGGGCTCAATCCCAGGACCCTGGGACCATGACCTGAGCCAAAAGCAGAGGCTTTAACCCACTGAGCCACCCAGGCGCCCCTGGTTTAATTTTTCAAAAAATTCTTCAGTCATCAAATGTCTACAAGGAAGTCTTTAAACAAATTTTCTCAACAGCGTTGTTTACTGAAGTATAAGGCTCTGTTTCAAAAAGTGAAAAAAATTGCACTCAATGTTGCCTGTTTTGGGAGTATTAAAGAGTCTTTCACTATTCCTAAGAATAAAAATAAAAAATTTGTAGGTGGAAACTTTAGCTCTCAAACAGAATTTTGTAATACTCCCTTACTATTGAGATCTGACAATAATTTTTGCTGTGCCTTTTCTCTTAATTTGTGGACTTTCTCCCTTGAGTCAGAAGACACACTCCCTCCTATTTGTCTGTTATATGGAGCTCTGGCCTTCAAGTTCTATTCATGCTCCCAGGTCTATTTTCCTACATTAGGAGGTCTAGCATTCCAGCTTTCTATTAATCAATGCCTTTCAAATCATATTCTTTAGCAGTAGTTCCCAACCCTGGCTGAAAATTCGCATTGCCTGTGGAGCTTTTATTAACAACAAATTTACCAGACATACCCGTGGGGATCCTGATTCAGAGGGTCTAGCACGGATCCAGAAATCCATTATGTTAAAATCACCAGGTGGTGCAGAAACAGTAGGATTTAGGAAATACTTAAGAGCCCTAGGCTTTGAGGGGCTGGAGCTCACGCGGTGGAGTGAGGAGGAAGCCGGGTGGGTGTGTTCTTGGTCGGCTACTTCTGCTTGAATTCAAGCAGCCCTGTTATGTCTGTTTTACACAGCAGGATCTGGAGGAGATTTCATTTGAATAGAAAGGTTGTGCTGCTTCAAGAAAAAATTTGAAAGTCACTGCTCTATTTGTTTAAGGTTTTCAAATTTTAAAATTTTAAGATGTTCAGATTTTTTTTTAATCGATGACTATGAAGAACGGTGAAAACATTCTAAAATACTCAGATAGTAAGTAAAGGTCAAAGTCTGTTAGACTCTACAGAGTCCTTAGAGTCCTTAGAATCTTTAGAATATAGAATATAAGTTCAGTTAGTGCAGAGAATAAACCCTATTTTATTTCAATGTGGTTGCTATTCCTCAACACCATCATATCAATGCCAAGATGTAGAGTGACAGCCTCAAGATGAATCTATCGATAAAGACACCATCACCATGATCTACAGTGTACAATCCGTCTACATTCTGAACCCATCGTCTGCAACTCCTCCCCTCACAGACCTCACCCCAGCCACCCTGGCTCCTTACTATTTCTTGAACAATCCAAGCACATTTCCACTCAAGGCCTTTGCAGTTAAAGTTCTCTCTGACTTACAGATTCTTCCTACACAGGACTGTAGGGTCTGTGCCCCTCCATTAGATCTCTGTTTAAGTGTCTTTTCAGAGTAGATATCACTGACCACCTTCCACCCTCCACCCCCAAAACAGCATCTTCCCCCCACAGCACTGTCCAATCCCCTCCCTGCTTTCGGGCTCTGTTGCTCTCACAGTACTTATTATCCCAGGACATGTGATGTGTTTCTAAATTTGCTAGTTGTCTCTATTCCTTGCACAACCAGGATATAATCTCCAAAAGAGCAGAGATTTTGTCTGCCTGCTTCACTCTGTGTGATCTTAGGGCTTAGAACAGTGGCTGGCACACTGTCATGGCCCAGACAGTTTTAGATGAAAGCACGTATGTCTCTTCAATCACTGAATTAATCCTCAAAAAGTCCAAGATACAGCTTTCTGCTATGTAGAGACTGACTCCCTTATTCGGATGTTTCTTTATAAGGGCAGTTTAACTACATGATATTACATGTCTCACTGGAAGCCTCTGCCCAGCTTTGTATTAAGTGAAAATAGCATGTACCGACTTACTTACAGGAAACGTGCATGACATCTGCTCCAGACTTGGTTTCTCTTCTTCCCTACATGGCCACACGCACTAGCCCCTCTCGACAGACAACTTCCACGTTGTGCGTGTGGGGTGCAGGCTCTCGCCAACCGTTAGTACCAGTGGTATCTCCACTTGGGCAGCTTGTCACGATCTCCCTCAAAACGCCTTCAAGTGAATTACGCAGCTTCCGTAGAAATTGACTTCCTTCTCTAATTATCCCATTTCTGTTACTAAAACAATCCTTCTTCTCGTAACATCTTTAGGAGGCAGATTTGATGTGTGTCTTTCCTCTGTCCTCCACATCTAATTTATCATCATGTTCTGTCACTTCTTCCTTTAAAATGTCTCTTTGATGCTCCCATTTCTTAGTAGATGGCCTATTTATTTCTCACTCTATACCCTGTTCATGTTTTTACTCTTTCTTCACATTTATTTTCCTTCCTTCTCCCAAAAAATCTGACTGATTTTTTGGCTCTTTATTGATATCACCCCTCTGATTTTTTTTTTTTTTTCCCTTTGCTACCTGGTGACAATTCCACAGCTTGGCAATTACCTCTTTAATTGTTTCATTATGCCAATTTTCTTTTCTCAGCTATATTGCACAGCTTATAGAGTCAAGAAAACAAATATTTTTATTAGTTTTCCTAGTACATAGCAGAGTGGTTGACACACAGAAAACACAACTGAGGAAAACATTTTTATTTTCCTGAATATTTAACATATGGTTATAAAGTTTTTTCCCTAAACTAAAAATAATATGAGGGAAAACACTATCATTAGACACTGCAGAATTAACTATGTTTAATTTGACAAAATTTGTGAGGTAACTGGTCATTTGCATATTAGCATGTAAGAGTGAAATAAATAAATTCATAAGTATATAACAAAACTCTGCTAAGAAGCTACCAAGGTAATTGAATATTACTGAAGCTCGGTGATGGGTGATACTCACTCATTATATTATTTTCTCTACTTGTGTGTGTTTGAATTTTTCTATCATAAAATGTTGTTGGGGGAAGGGGTGCATTACAAAGAAATAAGAAACACTCACATGATCTATAATAATACCCTATATGGACTACAGGAAAAAAATGAATCAACAGTGCTAACTATTAGCATGAAAAAGATACTGTAGCATAAACACACTATGCAGTATTCTCAGTTATCTGTACCTTGCTCTTCAGTGGATATCTACATACTCTTGGACCAGGCACAGTTCTTACCAATTCTATATTTATAATAAATTTTCCTGTTGTAACTGACAGTGGATTTGAAAGTATCAGTAATGCTCCAATTTTTAATAATTCCATCTGTTTATAAGGTAAAAAACAGAACATTTCAGAATCAAAATCCCCAATGTCAGAAAAAATTACAAGAGAAAACGGCATGAATTCAAAACTTACGGTCTTAACATCATTTTCATGATGAAAGATATACTCGAACAAAGCCTATGAAGAAAAAAAAAAGCCAAAAATACATTAGATTTTATTTTAACAAAAGCACTGTATTGTTATATCAAAACTGAAAGACATTTTGACAGCAGCTGGGTTGAACCAAAATAACAAGGTACTCTAAAAAAAAGTACCTTTACAAGTTAAGGGTCTATCCATTATTACAATCGCCATTTTAAAATATAGCGATTTATACCTGATTCCTGTTTTTATAGAATATAAACTGGAAAACTCAAATAACTAAACAGTGTTTTTCATATTACACATACTATTTTACTAGAAAGAAACAAATGAAAAGACCAACTTTGGAAGTGCCCAAAACAGATTCAGCCCGTTCTATTACACACTCTACATATGTAGTATAGTGATTATGATATTGATAATGACACTTTAGACATGGGGGAAATCTGGAAGTTCCTTTTGAAACAAAGTAGAGCTTGAGTGTAAAACAGGCTGTGTAGATGATGACTGTAAGACCCATTACTGTGCTACTTCCCTCAGCTCATCTGGATAAGTAAGCATTTACTGAATTACCCCTTGATGGTATCACATTCGTTCATAAAGCCATTACTGTACACTTGCAAAGAGGCTAGTGTATCAAGGTTATTACCAGAGAAAACTTAAGAAGCAACCAAAGAAAGAAGTCAGGACCAGGCCCTTCTTTTAAAAACGATACCTAACCCTCCATTTGTTCTGTTATAAAAAAGAAAAGTTAAAAGTGTGGTTGGTGCTACCATTGCTGTGAAATGAAACTCATTAGAAATGAGTTCCAATGAGGAAAGGTGGATCAGAAAGATAGGAAAACTAGGCATTCTTTCTTTTTTCTTTTTCTTTTTATTTTTTAAGATTTTATTTATTTATTCATGAGAGACAGAGAAAGAGAAAGGCAGAGGCAGGGGGAGAAGGAGGCTCCCTGAGGAGCAGAGAGCCCAATGCAGGGCTCAATCCCAGGACCCTGGGATCATGACCTGAGCCAAAGGCAGATGCTTAATGGACTGAGCCACTCAGACACCCCTTACTGGGCATTATTTCTACAACACACTAAAAAAGCACAAAATCTAGTTCAGTTTAAGTCTATTAACATAGGCCAGGTCTGTTCTGGAAGCATCTGAGTTTACCAGAGTGCCTTCATGGGTCTGCACTCCCTGGACAGAAAACAGCAATGGGGGGCGCTGTCAGGGGTGGGGGAGCAGGTGGCGTAGTCAGTTAAGTGACTGACTCTTGGTTTCAGCTCTGGTCATGATCTCAGGATCATGGGATCGAGCCTCACATCAGGCTCCACACTGAGTGCAGAGTCTGCTTAAGTTTCCCTCTCTCACTCTTCCTCTGCATCACCATCCCCCCATCTCTCTCTCTCTCTCTTCTTCTCTCAAATAAATAAATCTTTGTAAAAGAACACAGCAATGGTACCAACTAGCCATCCAGCCACCTCAAGTAAATGGCCTAAAAGGGCAGGGGAACTAGATATTCCATATAAGTTCCTGTTAATACTCCATTCTCACAAAGGGAAATAAGTATAACTTCACAATTCTGCTAAGTGTAGTTGACCAGATTGCTTTCAAATAAGAAATTAAGAAAAATGTCATCAGTGTTATTATAGGATAATTCCCTATCAACTGACATTTCTTTTTCAGATTTTAATTTCAACTCTGTATGGCTAACAACCACTCTTATATTCCCCAGTGTTTGACATTTAGTAAATATGTTAAACACCATTAGAACTAAGATTCAGAATGAACTCAGCACTAATGCACAGAATTCACAAAAATTATAGCTACAAACCTGGGCTAAGCTTAGGCCAGTTTCATCACCAGCTAAGTGCTCATGTCTCTGAACTATTCCAAACAACTCCAAGTTTATCTTTAGACTGAAAAGGTCATGGACCTCTCAGGCTCTTTTTCTCTCTCTTTCTCACTCTCTCTTAACATGCATACACACACTTACTTTCACTCTTTCTCTTTAATTTAAAGGAGCATCTAATCTATTTTTTAAGATTTATTTATTTATTTGAGAGAGGGAGAAAGCACGTGTGCACATGGGAGTGGGGAGGGGGTAGAGGGAGAAAATCTTCAAGCAGACTTCCTGCTAAGCACAGAGCCAGATATAGGGCTCCATGTCCCGACCCTGAGATCATGGACCTGAATCTAAAGGAAGAGTTGGACATTCAACTGACTGAGTAACCTAGGTGCCCCAAGCAACTACTCTTTGAATAGTTAGAATTATTAACATAATTCTCCATAAGGATCACTCAGGCCAGATAGGGACATTGAGATGCCTGCCTAATTACAAATTAGAAGTACATATTTTTTTATCTTCCTTTTGACAGTCCTAAAACTCTACAAGGATAGCAAATCATTTTTCTGAGAAGAGTCCAAGATGAAAAAGAAAACACACACAGACACGGATGACCTGCTAAGCTCCCTTCCACAAAGATGATTCTGCCTATCTGCTTTCTTTGTTATGAATTGCTATTCCTTTATCAACAATAGCCAAACTAAGGAGAAAGCCCCAATGTCCAATGGCTGATGAATGGAGAAAGAGGATGTGGTGTGTACACACACACACACACACACACACACACAAAGAAATATTACTCAGCCATCAAAAAAGAATGCAATCTTGCCATTTGCAGTGATGTGGATAGAGCTAGAGAGTGTTATGCTAAGTGAAACAAATCAAGTCAGAGAAAGACAAATACCATATGATCTCACTCATATGTGGAATTTTTAAAAAGATGAACATATGGGAAGGGGGAAAGAAAAAGAAAAGGAGAGAGGGAAACAAACCATAAGAGACCCTTGACAGTTCAGAACAAACTGAGGGTTGATGGAGGGAGGTGGATGGGGGATGGGCTAGATGGGTGATGGGGATTAATGAGAGCTTTTGTTGAGATGAGCACTGGGTGTTTGTTGTATGTAAGTGATGAATCACAGAATTCTATTCCAGAAACCAATATTGCACTGTATTTTAACTAACTAGAATTTAATTTTTTTTTTAAAATTGCTGTTGTTTATCAGAGGAAAAAGAATTTCCTATAATGATGGTATATAGACTTTATTTCCGATGGACTTTTCTTAACTCAAAAGACTAAGAGAAGTTTTACGTAGTTCAGTAATTAAACATTTCCATTTCAATCAAGACACCACCTTTCCTTCACCATTTTTTTCTATTTCCTGCAATGTTGTTATGATAATATATCTAACTGTTACTTCATAACATACAATCATTTTAAATACATACCTTTGCCAATTTAGGTTTCTGGGCATATTTTGTTAAATTCAGTCTAGATAAGTTTATAAAAGGCCCATCAGGACTTGTAAGCATGGAAGCCTATGGGGGAAAATGACAGAACAAGATCTGAAACTTTCTCTTGAAACATAAATTGAGTTTAATGAGCATAAAAATTACAAAGGCAACAAAAGTAAAAAAAAGAATCAACTGTAAAAAACCTTCCATATAACCTTCCACTATAACAAGAGCAAAAAATGATATACTATAAAGTTACTTTGGTAATAGAAAACGGTGGTAAAGCTGTCAGAATTTACCGTTCCCAGCCTGATAAATCTTCCAGATGAGCTGGTGATGGGGCGAGCTGTGTAGGCAGTTCTGGGAGTTCTGATGGCCTGCTCCATAGTGCCAGGCCTTCCGCTCTGTGTGCCAGGTCTAAGGAAACCTGTAATGGGTCTTCCAGCTTGAGTGATTGGCCTGTGGAAAGTGTACGTTGTGAAAATACAAAGAAGGTCAATAAAGGAAGATTCTCCTACAGGCTCGTCACTATTTAAGGATAGAGGGTATGAAAGAGAAGTGCATACCTGATAGCTGGACTAGGCCCTCCCGTCTGATTAGTTCCAGGGAGTTTCAAAGATGTGCCAGGGCCTATGAGATGAGATGGCAAATTCAATTACTATATGAGTTACTAATCTGTAGAAACTGTCAGCTAATGTAATTTTCAGGAATGCACTGGTCTAGTGAAAAGGACATTAATAACAGGAAATGTATTTTAGGGAAGAATGTGTTTGAGACTGATACTTACTGAATATCTATTATGTTATTTTATGTTACCACATGTAATCCTCACACTAAGTCTGAAAGACAAGTAATATTCACCCATTCAGCAAAGGCTTAGAGGGTTAAGCAAAGAGGTCATCCCGTTAGTAGAGCTGGGGTTCAAACTAAGGCTAGCAAGCTCCAAAGATACTCATGGTTTATTTCTGATACAAAATCAAGAATTTAGACATTTTAGCTCCAAAAGAGCAAAACGATGGGGGAAAAAAGTTCATTTTTAACATGAACCACATGTATTTTTTTTCCTCAATTTTCATTTAAAGCTTTAAAAGTTATTATCTTTCAAACATATAAATGGCTGATAACTGTTATAACTATCAAATTCCAGCAAGACCACCACAGCAATCACTCAATACCATTTGCACCAGCACATCCGTAAGCTGGGAACCTAGAAGTCCCCTATAAGCTTCTGTGACGACACCAAGAGGCATTCACGGGCCAGCGTATCACCCCATCACTTCACATCACGCATGAGAGCAAACCACCTTCAATTATTACAGTGATCATTTTTTTTTTAATAATCCTTTTAGAACACTTCTGCTGTTTGGGTGCTTCTGGTGTTTCCACTCTGAGATAAACAATCTTCTGATAGGTTAGATAAGCAGTTCAGCTAGAATGCCTTTTAAATATAAAATTTTTTAAATGCATAGTATATCTTTTATTGAAAAATGGTTTTATACATCAATCTCATATCTTAAGTTTAAGATAATATAATTGAATTGAGGAAGGAAAGTCTTTGTATTGTATGGCAAGATAGAGACCATTTACGTAATAGAATGTTTTTTCATGTATATAATGTCGTATGTTTCTTTTATATACAAAGAGTATTATTCTTCCTCCTAATGGCATTTCATTTACTTAAGGGAAAAACCAATACTTACGTGGAACTTGAGCAATAGCATTTTCATCTAGCATCATTTCTGCAATTCCTTCCTGATTTACATCAATTTCATCTATGTATACCATTTCAGTTAGTGCTCGTGCCTTTAAAATCCAAGCTGCCTATAAGCGTGGATAAAATAAAGCATATATTAAGTAGTATTAGAAGTACTGCCTACAGAAGCTTTATTATTGTCTAAGTTTCCATTGGGCCTGTTTACCACTTAGTGCATTATATTAATTTAAATAGCTACGTCAAGAAACTAATAAAAGAAGGCAAAGTCATTACTAATCAAGAAACATCCATTAGATCAATTAATTACCTAGTAAATAAAAGTGTTGTAATTACCTGGTAGTCTTCTAACATGACTTTTTATAAGTAAAAGAAGATCTTAAGAGAAAATTTTACTAGAACAGTAATTTGAAAACAAATTAATAAAGCTACGACCACAGTGCTCTTTCTGCCTTCCCCCTTCAGGACCAGAGTCCATCATGAAGACCTTCTCGATGGTTTAGCTCTAAACCTACTTCCCTCTTGTCTTTCTCACAGAGCATTCTCTTTATACTCCTATTATATGTACTTACCATACTCGAGAAAATGTAATTATTGGGCATAGGTTAGCCCTCCCTTCCCCAGAACACAATCCTTTTTACCTTGTTCAGTTCTGAATTTTCCGTAACACCTACAGTTTTTGCACACATTGGTATTCCAAAAATGTTGACTTGAACTAAGATCAATTTCTCCCAATTCCCAATAACTAATCAACACAATCTTGGTTGCTTTGGGATCTAGCCAGTAGAAAACCTGCTAGAAAGTGGAGGTGGGGGAGATAGAAAAGGCAATTAAGGATTCTGGAAAATATCAGCTTTGTTCTACCTTGAGAAATTAGATGTCAAGGTCTGCACAGTGAAATATGTTCTTAAACATTTAAAATGGCTTTATCAGAAATGTTTACCTTTCTGCTTCACTAGAGAATAGAAGCAAAGAGCAATAAAGCTTGTCCAGTGGAGGAGCTGGGAAGAAGGCAACTCTTGAGCAGAAGCACAGAATTGACTAATAGTACAGAGGAAGCAGCAGCATGGGAACTTGGGGGATGGTGTAAGGAGGGCTCACACATCAGGCTGTGAAGCAGACTGAAGGAAAGGCAAAGGGACTGAGAGAGGAACAGATGAGAGCTACAGAGGTCCAAAAAGTCCTCACATCAAGAACCCAAGATGCATTCATCCACTCATGCACTCAGTCCATATCTACTGAACACCTCCTAGTTACATGGCATTGGGCGAGGTTCTGAAAAGGAAACACGAGAAGATTAAAACTTGGATCTTAATTTCCCTGAACACATCACCCATCTGAATTAAGTGTCAAGGCAAAGCAGTGCATGATAGGTGACAGGTTTGTGGTATAGAAAATAGTTTTATAGGAATTAAAAAGCAGAGATCCTTTTGTGGGCTAAAATAATTGGAATGCATATAGCAGACAAAAATTTTTAAGGAAAGAAGAAAATCTTTATGCTTTCACTTTAATGGGAATAAAGAAGGCTGCCTTCATTGCATACTTAGGTTCCTAAAATGAAATTATATTTGGTTAGATGATTGGCTTTTTAGGCTTATACTTTCCTGGGTAAGGTTTATTGGATTCTCATCAGATAACTTACAATAAAATGTTTCAACTGTGTGGATTTAACACAACTGAATGAGCAGAACACAGAATCAAAGAATTTGTTAAAAAAAAAAATCAATTCTAATTGGAACTGCATCTAACTGTGGGAGCCACTAAAGTGTGGAAACAATTGGAAGTTTTCAATCCTCAAAGATCAAGGAATGTTGGCAGATCTATACAAGTATGGTCAGGGAAGTCATCCCTCGCTTGTACTAATGGTTTAATTTAACTTCAAAGATGGAAATAAGTAATCCTGATTTATCTTGAGTCCCCACGGCTCAACTGCCCTGCAAGCATCTGATGGATTTCATTTCTCAAGAGGGTGTTGCTTCTTCAGCAGCCTGGTGGACAGGAAGGACTGCAGCATTTTCTTTGAAACAGTAAAGCAAGATGTGGGCTCCGTTGGTTCACTCCCATATTACTAGGGAGCACCTGCTACCTACATGCCAGGTCCTGGGAACAGAGATGAGTAAACCACAGCTCTCCCAGCTCACACGAATTTCAGTGTTGTTGGAAAAACACAATAATGAAAGTCTGGAGCATACTGTGGGAAGGCAGAGAGTGGCACCCAGCTGCCTGGAGGGTGGAGGAAGGGTAGGAGAAAAGAGTTTCATAGTGGCCAAGACTGGAAAGCATGTGATAGGCAAAGCAACGGGACCAGGACAGGCTAGCTTGAAGGCTCATGACAAGTTTAGCAAATCCAAATTAGTTGGGATATGGTTGAATCAGGTTCGGGCTGAGGCAGCAGTCAGAGAAGAAACTGGAGAAAAAGGCAAAGGGCTGATGACGGACCCTGGATGCCACAGTGAGGTATATGGACTTTCATCCTGATGAGGAGGAGCTCATGAAGCTTCAAAACTATTACTTGGAGTCCCAGTCAAATCTATCTTCTAAAAGCCATGTTCTAATTATTATAGTATCATTTATATATTGGGCATTAATTATCCCTGCATGTATCTTTTTAACAATTTGCATGTACCTACTGTTACAGACTACTCCATCATGCTTCCTGACATCCATCTACCTACTATTAAATATTAAGAAGGTGCAACTGTTTTTAATATTAGGCTAAGCAAAATAAAAGGAAGTAAATCCACTGTTCCCTCCCCACCAAATGAATAAATGCTTCACATCTTTTTAAAAACGTGATTCCATAAGAATTCACTTTTTAAAAAAGGTAAAGAGATCTATATTTATTTCAGTTTCTGGAACCTAATTCTTCAGAAGTAGAAATAATGATGGGAATCTTGTATATTTAAAGATCTATAATAAAATCTATTTAACCATTACTTAATTTTAAATTTCATCAGTATTTGAGAATATTAATCTTCCTGATTTTCCTTCTGTCCTAACAAAAATGACCTTGAAAATCGCATACCACTGGTTGATTAAACATCAGACTGTATTCAAAGAACTGCTCTTGGCAATGTGAACAATTCTTAGGATTTTGATGAAAACAGCAGATGGAGCTTTGGCTTTAAAAAAAAAAATTAAAAATTTTATTTTGGAAACAAGCCAAGTATGTTTTACAGCCCTAAAATCCTCTGTTGAAATTTAAAAAAAAAAAAAAAAAGTTCAAAACTAATCAGTGATTAAAGTAAACTGCATAACAAAGCGTAATGGATGATCCCAAACTGCCCCTTGGATCTGCATAAAAACATAAATTGGTATTATCAGATAATGTTTAAATTGTTACTAAATGACAGGGCCATGTAGTAAATATACTTGAATACCCATCCATTGGAAGTACTGTGAAATCAACAAAAATCATAGAAGTGTCGGAACTTTTCTCAAGGGAAAAGCACAGATTCTCCCAATCTAAGCAAGTAATCATCATGTCAGTTATGTCCTTCTTTGTCCGAGAAACATAATCCCATCTCCTTCGCCTACTGAGGCAGTCTACAGGACATTACTCTTGAGGTATTAACATCAGGGAAGTAATGCTTTGCTTGTACTATCTTCTGTGAGGTTGATCCAATTTTAGTTATGAAAATAAACAAGGTGAAAACTCTAGTGAATGAGCAAAACATGTTTAAATTGTCCTGTTCCTTTTAATACAGAATTTGAGGCCACTCGTTTAAGACATAAAAGAAACAATTTTGTTAGGTTATTATTAGAATAAGGCCACCAAAGAACAGTGTGTCTAACCTGATTGAGCCATCATAAGAATCAGTAACATTTGACACTCTGCCTACTCTATGAAAATGAAAAACTGAGGCACAAAATATCGAATTGTTATTGTGAAGCCTCATTTATTTTGAAGTTGTAAAAATGTGCAAAGGAGGAAGGCAATATGTGTGAATAATGAGCTCAAAAGAATCCCGTCAGACTTGTTCCCTTTTTATTCTTTTAGATCACTATCCAGTGGATAATTCAGTCTACAGTAACGGAACAGAAAACAATACTAAATACAGATCCTTCATCAAGTTCCTGCGCTGGCTGGAAAGTTTCAAATGCCATTTACAGTTTTAAAACCATACAGTGCAAATTATTGGTGTTTTAATTTAATTTTAACAAAATCTTCCAAAATTACTGAAAACAAAAAACACAGTACTTACTTTATTTATAATTTAGGTCCTTCTCAAACTAATTGTGCATATATTATGCAAAAAAGTTCTGTACCATCTATCAATTTGGTAATGATTATAAACACTGCAGACAATGTTTAAATTCTTTTCAAGAACAGAGTGCTACCTTTTAACCCATTTATGTGCTTGTTTACTGCCACACGGACCTCTATCAGAGTACTTTATATCTTGCCTTCTTCTACAAGTTTGCATGATTACTCACATGAACCACATATGAGGTTCCAAACTGTTTATTTACCTAAAAACCACTGTTACAATTCTCTGTCACGTGGTGGGGCAAATACCTGGAAACACTGAAGCTCTCTGATTTATAGCACTTTCTTCTCTTCACCCTATTCCCAGACCTACTAGAAACCCTCGGAGTTAAAAGCTTCACCTCCTCTCCTTGGATTCCCTCCAGACTCATTCACTGGGTCTCATCCAGTTAGCAGGTCTCTCTGGCCACCTTCTATCCCGCAAGAATTTGGTAGACATGGCTATCTGGCCAGTAGTGTTCCTTCCTTTCTTCCTCATGGTGGCAGGCACCGCTCTCTAAAACCAAGCCCTTCCCAAGCAGAGTTAGCCTAATCTTTACTCAAGACACTGTCCTATCCATCATGGTCTTTTTGGACACCTGGGGTTCTGCTGACTTCTTGGCTTGCTCGCTTTCTAAGCTCCTGATTCCCCTTGCCTCCTTCTCTAATTTTCTCATCCTCTGGTCAATATTGGTCATTTCTATTTAAACTCCAAGTCTTAAGACCATAAGACTACTCATCCAAAAATGTTGGAAATATAATACTTTACATAAAAAGGTACAGAACGTCTGGTAGAGATGGCTAATTTTATAACAGCACTAATAGATATGCAGCAAGTTTTCTAAACTATAGGACGAAGTAAGCAATTGAAATTATAGTATTCTCTAAAGGTTGCTAAACTAAACCTTTACCTGAGACACTGGCAATTCAGGATCTGGTTCCTGGAAAGCATTAAGAAGGTAGTAAACATTTTTAAGAAATACAGTTTCTAAAATAAAGTCTTAGTGACTAATTAGGTATGCATAGGTGGACTCAAACTCATTCAGTAAAAATTCAAATATTAACTTTAATCTTTCCCCACAACTGTTTTCAAGAGTTTTGGATATACTAATACTAATATTGGTATTAGTGTAAAACTAATATACACTGACAAGTGCTGAATTTTCTCCAAGTAGGAAATTCTAATTATTCTAACCTCATTTAAAGCACAGAGAAGTTATCTTAACTACTTATTTAATGAAGACACAAAATCTCAGAAATTACAATAATTTTACAACTATACCAAAGGAACATTTCTTTATACTCAAAAATAAGTTCATGGTGGTTAAAACATTCAGACTTTAATCACTTGGGGAGGAGGAAGAAAATCCACATACTATAAACCCTTCTGCTCCACATATAAATAATGGGATTAGTGCCTGAAGATAAAAAATTAATTCTCACTGTAATGCACTCTGAGAAATGTTTATAAATAGACTATGTCACATATATTAGTGTCAGGTGTTAATAAACTCAGGGTTTTTTCTGTTCAAACTAAATAGAAATCCACTGGGAAAAAGTCAGAGTTGTAACAAATATATTTAACAAAACATCTACATTTATGTATCTACAGTTAGCAACCTGCACTGAACACTCAGTTGGCGGCATGTCTTATTAGGGAAGCTACTAAGAAACAAAATAGAAAAAGAAAAAGAAAAGATCCTTCCTTGCCTTGCTTTCTATAGCTCTAAAAGCCAAAAGAATACTCTAAATATTTTTTTAAGAATATATTATGCGCACAAGCAATGTGTAAGCCATCTGGTCACCATACAAAGATAAGCAATTCTGTAGCATGACACCCAGTAGGAACATGAGAGGCACAGGTTAAGCTAGGCTAGAAAAGCAAAGGCCTCAGAGGGTGGGATTTAGAGAATATTTGGAAAGCAGCTGAACGAAACACAAAACAGCAACTAAGAATACATGGCAATTGGAGGTTTTCAATTCCAGCGTGTATAAGGAAGATCTGGAAAAGTACAGATTGCTTAGAACTCACAGTCCATACTTAAACATACTGATACAGGCAAAGAGATGACAGAAGACATAACCCTGTCTATTCTTTCTTCTGTTTATTTGTGGACATGTCTGTATGACACATGTCTCTCATTTAAGTCTCATAACAACCACCGGCGGGAGGCAGGTCAATGTTCTTATCCATTTGACAGATCAGGAAACCAGTTCAGAGAGGTCATATAATTTGCTCAAGGTCACACAAGGAAGCCAGAGCTCTTCCTTGCCAGCACATCTTGGAGATTAAAAAATGACTTGGACATAATAAGGCAGGATTGAAGCATAAAGTGTACGAGAGTACAAGATAAGTCCATATAGAAAGGGGAGAAAACGTTAACCAGAGGTGACTGCAGATAATACTTGGAAAGGAAAACAAAACAGGTATAAGAGCTAGAAGCCTCTAATCGTTAAGTAAAAGCTGGATGCCTGTTATTCTGCCACAAGCAAGAAGATGCTTCCAGTGGCCCAAATTCAAACCACCAGCTCAGCCTCGGTGTTCTGTTCACTGATAAAGGTCTTTGTGCTCCCTGGGGTTCTTCTGCTCCACAAGAACACATCTGTGACTTACCACACAGGTAAAGCATGTGGGGAAATGACAAGCGATGAGAGGGTCAGAGAAGACAATGAGAGGCCTAGAGGATGGGAAGGTGGACAGATAGGTGAGGTTGCTTAGATGGGAGAAGGAGAAAGACAGAACCAGAAGTGAGGCAGAGAACACGTTAGTCCCACAGCATATCCCTGACATAGCTGGTCCCCTGGCTAGGTGCTGAAAACATTCTATGAGGAAGGCACACAGAGTTATATACCTTGCAGTAAAATGTATCAAATGCTATATTCAAGTTAGGGGCCAGTTAGATATGACTTAAAGGGAGAGGGGGAAAACAGAATACATGGAGATAAGAAGGGAGTCAGAGAAAAGGGAAGGAGATTATTCTGGAAATTATTGAGTACCAGGGATCTGTGAACTATATTCAACATCACTTTGTCATCAATTTCACTGAACACTTTCCTCACAGGTGCGTTCCAGGTTACCAACAATCCTTTCAGAAAAATATCAATGATATTGATCCTGCATGGAAATTGCATGGATCCTGCATGGAAATCTCTCTAGCTATCTAGAGACAATAGCAGCTAACATTTGTGATCACTTACCATATTTTAATGAACTGAACCCTCACAACAACCCTTTGAGGCATATTATCCTCTCCATTTTACAGATGAAAAAACACTCATCTGTATATAAGCAGTGTATACAGTTGAAATGCTGTTCAAATAGGCAGTATTTGAACCCAGACACTCTGGATCAAGAGCCTGAACTTTGCTGAGTATATGAGATCATAGCAAGGCATGAAAGCTGGCTACTATATGGTGAGGGAGACCAAGGCTGGGTATGGCTGGTCTGGACTGGAGATCCATCAGGAGTAGCAGGACTAAGAAGGAAGAGTCAGGATTTTTTAATTTAGAGATAGGGCAAAAAAAATTTTTTTTAACCACTGGGACTTTCATCTGTGGGTCTCTCAATTAGAGTCTGTTATTTTAATTAATCCATCCAAATAGGGAACCACAAGTCAGGTTCATTTGGTCTAGCAGATTATTTCCATGGGCATCAACACAGTTGAGGCTAGGAGCCTGGGTGGGTCAGTTAAGTGTCCAACTCTTTTTTTAATTTTTTTAAGTATCTAACTCTTGATTTCGGCTCAGGTCATGATTTAAGGGTTGTGAGATCAACCCCTGTGTCAGGCTCCCCTTGTCAGGCTCCATGCTAGTGCCTGCTAGAGCCTGCTTAAGATTCTCCCTCTCACAATGGACTCTGGGGAAATAAACCAAGGGTTATAGAAGGGAGGGGGGTGGGGGGATGGATGAGCCCGGTGGTGGGTATTAAAGGAGGGCATGGATTGAATGGAGCACTGTGTGTTATACACAAACAATGAATCATGGAACACTACATAAAAAATGAATGATGTACTGTATGGTGACTAACATAACACAATTAAAAAAAAAAAGAAAGAAAAAAAAATTCTCCCTCTCCCTCTCCCCCACCAACTTTCTCTCTCTTTCTCTTTCTCCCTCTCTCCCCTCTCTTAAAAAAAAAAAAAGAAGAAGAAGAAGAAGAAGAAGAAGAAGAAGAAGAATCACCATGCCTAGCCCTAGAATCAGAAGAGCTGGGCTCGATCCTCAGGGAGTCAGTTAGCTGCATGACCTTGAACAAATCATACAATCTCTGTAACCTAGTCCTCCTCTTGAATTGGAGCAGTAGGGTCTATAGGGGGGTTTTAAAAAGAAAAGCTTGCATTTTTAAGAATATTTCATAATTTTCAGAGTCTTTTCACATATGCTATCACAGTTAATGAAACGTAAGGTGCTATCACTTTCAATAAGAAGTATCAGTCACATAAACAATTCTATAATAAATAGAAAGGCACCAAACTCGCTAGTACTTCCCTTTTCAGAACGCAGAACTAACTCCCAGTTGTGGCACATCAAATTAAGACTTCCCTTTGACTCTCCTTCAAAGTGAGTGAGTGAGAGGACAGGGAGCAGTGACACTGCCTAGAACTGGCAAATACTCATTAGCATCAACTTCAATTCACATCAGTTTGCTTCCCTCCTTCCTCCCCAGGGTAAGGCTTTCTCTCTTAGGGTGTTGCTATTACTTCAGGGAATCAAATCTCTAGCTAATTCTGAATGTGACTTCTTAATTGCCACCAATACTTACTCTGGCTAATAAGTCTGACCCAGCTCTGTTCTGAAACTACTGAGACATTATTCAGAAAGTAGCAGTAACAAGAAGGAAAAAGAAAAGAAAAAAAAAAAAGGTAAGAGAACAGAGAAATAGATGGATGTCAGAAGGTTTGGGGAGATCTAGGGACCAAGCAGCCAAGAATGTAAATCTATAATTCAGCGGGAATACAAATTCATAAAATGAACTGCTCCACAGGGTATAAGAATCAGAAGATTAAGTTTGGCTGAGACTCCATGGCCCCAAAGAGGAAATAAATTAGATAATCATACAGAAAGATGGCTTTGTTTTGTTTTGTTTTGCCTGGAGCACCAGATCATTGTCTCAATCAACTACTAAGATGTAGCTCACTGGGGACCCCTGGTTCCATGTCTTTCCTCTAAGCCAGTGGCTTTCAGCCTTTTCTCTATCTCCAAATCATTTACAATAATAATCCCCTCTCTGTATCATCTCTCATTATAAGTAGAGATTGGGGAGGAGAATGTGAATTCCCATTCAAAGCCAACACTCCCACTCCCAGAATCACTGATTTTAATAATTTGAAAATCTATCAGAAATCTACTGTATAATAAAAGCATACTGTCTTTTAAAAACCTCACTGCCTGAAAAATCTGCATGTTTTATGAACTATTTAATTATGATGGAGCTAAAAAAAATTGGGGCTGGTTTTAAAGCCATGCTTCTGACATATGGAACACAAAGAACAGTAATCAGATTAAGCAACTAATCAGGATGATGGACATGAGCTGTAACAGCAAGCGTTCCCTCTGGGTCACATTGCTGTGTGGAAGGAAGACCGTTTTGTATTTCTCCCTTGTGTATCTTACAACTTACAACTACTTGTTCAATCATGATTGAAAGAACACTTTGAAAAAAGATAGTACCTCTCTGTGAATTTCTTGTTCTGACTGTATTTTATCAAGCAGGAATAGCTACAATATTAACCAGTTATCTTTCTTTCTTTATTCCCAAGAGATCAGAACCTTAAAGTCATGCTTACAGACCCCGCCTTCTTATTTCTCACTATTCCGTACCTGGGAAAAACAGTTCACAATCCATCTTCTTCAAGAACCTTGCCCTATTACCAAATACCATGTTCTTACAGACAACCTATCCTTCAGTCCTTTTGTGTCCAAATGAAAGTGTATTACTCTA